AATAAGCCTACTCCCGAGCCCAGTAATATAAAAAAAAAAAAAAAAAAACTAGTTAATATACTATTTTTTATTAGTTTTAAAAATAATTTTTTTAAACTTAATAATTAAAATAAGCCTACTCCCGAGCCCAGTAATATAAAAATAGGTAAAAATAAAAAGGTTAAAAATAATAAACCTTATGCTAAAATTAATGCTTAAAATAAAGTTATTTTTAACTTACCTAGTAATTTAATATTATATAATAATAAAAATCCTATAATTTTACTTATTTTTATTACTAGCTTAAGCTTAGTAAGTACTATAGTTAATTAAAGCTTTTAAACCTATAATAATTATAAAATTATTTTAATAACACCTAACTAGGTAGTAAAAAACAAGAAAAATAAAAAAATCCTTAACTTTAAAAATAATAGTACTAAAGGGCTTCCATAACTAAAAAATAATATAAATAAAAATAATAATAAAAAAAACATATTAACACTGCTTTCCCCTAAAAAATCTAACCTAAAATTATATAAAATTAATATAAAAAAAGGGGAGTAAGATCCTAATCCCAGACTTTTAACTACACAGGTTAAATTAAATAAAAAGGCTTAATATAACCACCTATATTAAAAGCAAGATTTAAAAAATTTTATAAATAAAAACCACCTAAAATAAAGGCCTTTTTTTAAAGTTTTTTATACTAAACTTTTTTACTAGCTAGTAAAAAACTTTATTAAATATTATATTTTTTTTTATTTAGTAATTTTTAAGCCTCCTGGACTATTATAAAAGGCACTAAGTAAAATTATTTATTAAAATTAGCTTTAAAAAAAACTAAAAAACTAGGTAAAACTTATAAAGTATTTATATAAAAACTAGTTTATAAAGGCTGCTAAAGTTAAATTTAGTACTTTTAAAAAACTTTATACTTTTAAAATTATTTTTATACTAAAAAGCAAGATTATTATATTACTTATATAAATATTTAAATATAAATTTAATATTACTAGTTATTTAAATAAATTTAAAGTATACCTTTATGCTAGGAAAGATTTTTAACCTAGTAACTATATTAATACTATAGTAATAACTTTTATTATTTAATTATTTTAACTTATAATAGCGCTTGTTACTTATTTTAACCTTAATATTATTTAATTAAATATTATTAACACCTTTATTTAAAGCTTTATAAATAAAAAAATATATATTAAAATACCACCCGGCCCCTGGCGTGTTAAAGGCAAAGTATTTAAATTAAATTAACCCTTATATAGCCTTAAATAATTACCATATATTTAATAAAAAAAAATATTTTTAATACTTTTTAAATATAGCTTTAAGCTAGTGTTAAAAAAGCCTTACCTTTTTATTATAAAGTATTTTATGGTTATTTTTTTTATTAATAATATACTTATTATAAGCAAAAAATTAGCTAAAGCTAAAAAAAAGGCTACTAACTTTATTAAATATATAAAGTATATATATAAATTATAAAATCTTGGTAAAATAAAGTAGTTTTTAAATATTAAAATTATTTATAATTATTATAATTAAAAAATCTAGTTACTTTAAGATTTTTATATTAATAATTTACAGGTTAAATATAACCTTATAGCACTAAGTAAAATACTAAAAATATTTTTACTTATTAAAAAATTAATACCTGCGCCTTTAAATTATATACCTATAAAATAAAATATTTTTTTATACTAATAACTTATTAACTTATTTTTTTATTTTATTATAATAACACGCCCTAACACTTTTAAAGTAGCTAGCAAGCTTGCTTAATATATAATATAGCTTATTAAAACTTATATTAAGGTAGTTAAGTATATTATTTAGTATTTTATTATAATAAAAAACCTAGAAATTAAATACTTGGCTAATACTAAAAAAATTATTACTATAATATTTAATACTTTTTTTAATAATAATTTTAATTAATATAACTTTAATAAATAGCTTATAAAGCTATTTAAAGGTTTAATTAACTAAAATACTTAAAAATAAAAAATAGTTATTATTTTTATTATTAAAGCTAAATTACTTACTATTACCAAGGAAGTAAAAAACCTTATATAATAAAAAAAACTTTTTAATATTATAAAGTTTAATTTAAAGGTTAAATTACGCCTTTTTTATAATAATACCTAAATTATATAATTACTTAACTTAAATAATTTTATATTTATTATATAACTTTAATATATTAATATTTACTATTACTAGCTTTGCAAGAAGTGTTAAAATAAAAAAATTAAAATTAATTAAATAAAAATAAAAAATTAATTAATAAATAACCTTACTAAACTTTTTAATAGCCCGCGCTATAAAATATTTATTTACTAACTTAGCCTTATTAAAATTAAAGCTATTTTTAATACCTAATATTAATATTTTTATTTTTTTAAGTATTAGGGGGTGTGTTAAATAAAAAGTAAAAATTTTTTAAATTTTTATAGTAAACTTAGTTAAATAACTTTAATTAACCTTTAAAAATAAAAAAAAAATTAACCTTTAACTTTAGCCGGATCTCACGGCCTAATTAAAAAATAAAATATAAAAAAAAAAAAATAAATATAACTTGAATTTTCCTGTATTTAGTTATTAAACTTTTATATTCTTATTTATCTTAAATCCTAAGAAATCTTATATTTTATTTACCCCTTAATTCTTATCCCAATCTCACATGACCAATTTCTGCCTGAGGCATCCGTAACTCCAAAAGTGATGCCATGCAAATGCTTCAAATGCTGCAAACTCTTGATCGGCCAACATCTCGGTCCAGAGTAGGCAGGCTCCAGCAACCTTGCTACGTCCTATATAACCATGGAATTAGACGCCGCCCCTTCAGCATATCATCATCGTGTCTAGCTGCCACCTTTGTTTGTTTATACAATTGTCCTTCCAATGAAAGCCACTCTCCCCCTGTGTGCGTTAGCCGCCATGTGCGCTCTGTCAGCAGCAGAGCCCACACCTCCAGTCAAGGTATCCCTCCTTGATCTCCGCGCCTTGCGGTTAGGTGCTAAGAACTAGTTAATAGACCGGAAACTGCAGCTTCCACTCATCCCCAGATATCGTGAGTGCCCCATGAGACGCCCATGGCTTTTGTAACACAAACTGACCTCCCCAAAGAGCGATATAGCCGCCACCAGTTACGCACACCTGATCAAGGCAGTGACCGTCCCGTCCGGCCCAACTTACCGGTACATTTTCTCGGAGCCGTCTAGCTCTTTGAAGCCCTACCTGCTGTTCATTCACGGATTCCCCTCAACCTCGTTCGACTGGCGCCACCAGATAGACTATTTTGTCAGCAGGGGATATGGGATCGTCGCGCCAGACTTGCTCGGCTATGGCGGCTCAGACAATCCTCCCGATCTCGCGGAATTCACCTTGAAGAGACAGGTCCTGGACCTTGGTGCTATCCTTGATTGTGAAGGCGTTGAGGATGTGTTTGCAATCGGCCATGACTTGTATGTGCTACTCTACGACGAACCTTGATTCACCTCTAACATTACAATAGTGGTTCAGTGGTACTATCCCGCGCGATAACGTACTTGGGCAAGCGCATCAAGGGTAGCGCGTTTGTGGGAGTTGGGTACGCACCACCTCCCATGTCCTTCAATGAAGCCGGTGTGGAAGCCATCAACAACGCCAGCCTTGATGCCCTCGGCTATCCACCCTTTGGGTACTGGTATTTCATGAACGAAGACGATGTCGCCCCCATCATGGACAAACATGTAGGTTTCCCGTCCTTATCGCGCAGAACAGCACGCTCACAGCGTCACTAGTTTGACTCTGCCTACACCCTCACCTACAGCTCCAACGCCACCTACCTGAAAGAACACTTCTCTCCAGTGGGAGCATACAAAAAGTGGCTCTTGGCGGATCGCATCGCGCCCTGGAGCACCTATATCACGGCAGACGAGAAGGATATTTTCGAAACCATCACCATGTCCCATGGGGGTTTCGATGGGCCCACCAAATCGTACAAGTCCCTCATGAGAGACTACAATGCCGCTGACGAAGCAGGTAAGCCAGGCGTATCTCCGCCGAACTGAACCGCAAACCTTGGGTCCCCAGAGCTAACACGCCCCCAGCGATTCCGGAATCAGAGGCGGCCATCACACACCCTGTGTTGCTTCTCACCGCGAGTAAGGATCCTGTTGGGATCGCTGATTCCCAGATCACGAACACGGCGCCTTATGCCGCCGACATTCGGATCAAGTCTGTTGATGCAGGCCACTTCCTGCAGGTGGAAAAGCCCGATGAAGTCAGCCTGGGCATCCACAACTTTGTGAGGGAAGTCATGACGGAAAAGGCTTGCTTGTAGGGAATATAGCTGTCCACTAGCTGGTGACTTTACGGAACGGCCTCTGCTATCTGGACCGGGACAGTACGTGAGCGTCCGTCTCAATGGTATAATTGGGGAAGGAGATGGTGCCCTGTTTAGACTGACAATGCTGGTGCTTCGAGCGAGAAGGGGACGGGCTGTGTCTCATTTTCATTGTAAAGTATAGATATATCCAATCATTATTCCTAACTCTCCGTGGGAAGATTCGTTTACTTTGCATCTTATATATACGACTCCATGTTGATTTTAGGTTAGTCTAGTCATAAGGCCCTTAAGCAAGCGGCTTGAATATTGAAAAACATGGTGTTTCTACAAAGAGCAGTCGATTTGAGAGTGAAGCCCTGGGTATACCTAGAAACGGTCTATTGGAAAGCGAGTGGCAATATTAGCACTCTATACACACTACGCCACCGCTGGAAGGATATAACTGGAGCATTCCCGGGCGGTATTATAGTGAGATATATCGAGAGCTTCGAGTGGTCCTATATACATGGTACGGAATGAGAAGATGTTCCTACTTGCTGTATTGCTACAGGTACACTGATCTTGGAAACAACAACAGGTTATCTCTACTTTAATCTCTCTTGTGCTACGGTCTCTCGTTTGCCCACTGGCACGATTAAACAAGGCGTCCAGACCAGGGTTAGGTCCGAGAATGCATGGTTGGCGACAGTCTGGGCAGCGGCTGTGGAGCTTGAGGCCCAAGCCTCGCGAAGACCCAAGAATGTGGTAAGGAAGGGTGTCACGGTGTGTGGCGTGGGTCATTTGTGAGAGTAAAGATTGAGCATACGGCAAGGTGCCCAAGGCAGACTGCTTCATTCATTGTGCAATTGACCAGCCATGGCAGTGCAAGCATCCCTCGGGTTTCGGCAGGCGGACATTGACCCGTCATCTCCGCCACGGCATGAGGTTTCACCTGCATCACACAATCTTTACCATTTCCGTCTCTTGTACACTGCACCGGCCCGGCTGTACCTACCGTACCGGCCTGCTCGGATCCACCGCCTCGGATCCCCAGAATCACGTCCCGGTGATCAAGCAAGGAGGTAGAAGCACATGTAGACTAGTGGATATAAATGAGAGCAAGGATTCACCCTTCCGAGCTTTAACTCTCGTTAAAGGCGCGAACAATTGCTGTCAGGAATGTCTTTGCCAGTCACCCAAGCAAGAGCGTACCGCCGCACCGCCGACGGCAGTCGAATCGAACTGGTCACCGATGAACTCCCCAAATCCCTCGCTCCAGACGAAGTACTGATCAAAATCCGTGCTGTATCTCTTAACCACCGCGATGTAGGCATGCTGAAGGCCACCAAGTTCAGCGCCCCTCTGTCCCGGGGCGTCCCCTGCTGCAACTGTGCGGACGGGGTGATTGGGACTGTGAACTACGCTGAACATCCCAACTGGGGTCAGGAAGTGAGGCGTCTTACTGACGGCAAAGGAGCGGATGTCGTTCTTGACATCGGTGGCCAGGTATCGATTAGCAGAGTTTCAATGCTGTGCGAACTAGGCGATGGTGTCCATGGTTGGCTTCCTGGGTAAGCCGACAGACAAGTCTGAAACACCTGATCTTGTTTTTCCGATATTATTGAAGAAGGCGACCGTTCCGGAAACGCAGATCTTCCAGTCTTGTTGTTGATCCTATACTAATAATATGTTGCAGAGGGATACACGTTGGCTCTCGAAACAACCAAGAGGCATTGATCAACTTTCTCAACGAACATCGCCTACCCTTGGACGTACTTGTCGACACTGTGTTTTCCTCTGAAGATGCCGAAGCCGCTTTTAACCATTTATCGTCTAAGCAGCATGTTGGGAGGGTTGTGGTCAGGGTTCAGTAGTCCTGCCCTCGCTTTGTCAAGGCTCGCAGCATGTGGCTCAGGTACTGGGCCATGAACGGAGCAAGGTTGGACCCCTGATCTAATACAACATGAAATTTGCAGGTCTGTTTACAGACTACAGCTCCTGATTATGAGAATTGTAAGTATTATAGTATAACTCACGGAATGGCTTGTTGCAACATGTCATGTCAACACCGCGCAAAAACAGTCCATGTCAAACCTCAAACAGACAGGACAATCTTCCCTCTCCCATCCAACCTCCCACTAGCCCTTTCATACGCATCTCTGACTCTTTGCAGTCCATAAACATCAAGCACGAAAACCCTCAACATCCCCAACTCCGCGAACCGTGCTAGGGTCTCCAAGCGATCACGGCCACCCTCGACAATAAAGAACAGGGCACGAACATCCTCTCGCGCAAAGCCTTGCTCCTGATGCTCTTTGACAAAGTTGAAACTGCTCGAGTCGACGGTGACAAGCGCCCCGCTCGTTTTGACGCACGCCCAAGACTTCACCAGCGTTTGTCCACCGACGGTGTCGATGACGATATCGTACTGTTCTTTCTGTCCGGCTGTCTGAAGCGCTGCGTACTCAATCGTCTCGTCTGCTCCAAGCTCGCTCAGAAACCGGGCATTCCGCTCGTTCGAACTCGTTGCTGCTGTAACGTGCACCCCGGCAAGTCTGGCCAGTTGCACGACGTACATGCCCACTGCCCCGGCGGCACCTGTAACGAGAACTTTCTTCCTCCCTCTCTCGTCCCTAGTCTGCTCTCCCTTCGAATTGCACAACGCATCCTCAGCACTCGGGACAACAACGCCGCCACGAACGAACAGCGCCTCGAACGCCGTCAGCGCGCTCAACGGCATCGCAGCGGCTTCGTACCACGATAGGCGCTTCGGCTTCAATGCAACCTCGAGCTCGCGGACAATTACGTACTCCGCCCAACTACCTGGTTGATCTGCGGGCAACATTCCAAAGACTTCATCGCCGACGTTGAAGTTGGACTGCGGATCGAAGACCTCGACGACGGTCCCGGCGATGTCGTTCCCTGGCGTGAGGTACTCGCGTGTATAGCTCTCCGGCCATGTGAGTGTGTCGCGGACTATAGTTGATGCTTTGACTCGGACTAAGAGTTCGTTTGGGCGTGAAAGCTTGGGGATCGGGATTGTGTCGAGGTGTAGGGCGGATGGGGGGGCTGGGTTGGAGGCGGAGTACGGGGTTTCTCCATTTGGTGCGGGATGGATGCGGATTGCGTTCATTATTGTGGTATTTGGTTTTGATGGATGCACGAGAGGTGATCAGCTTGGTTAGGAGCCGCAGGGACGTCTTTATAGATTGGATGCTCGGGTATGATCCATGGAACGGCAATAGGCTATTGATGCTGTTCCACAACAGATCGCGTCATTTGATCTATACCCGATTCACTTATAAACCCTTGTCTCATTTACTCGTGGATCATAATCATAACCATAACCATACCTAATCATACCCAACACGACCCCACATCAAAATCACCCCAAACCCCCCAAAATGACACCATTCAGCCTCACCTACAGCTTAATCCAACGCCCCATCCACTCCTCCACAACAGATTTCGCCTCATCCACCAGCCCCAGATCAAGAAGAAGCTGCACCGTCCCACGCACCGCACTATCCAGCGCCGAAAAGATCCACGCATGCGTGTAACTCGTATGCTCGCCCACGAAAATCGTCTTGAACTCCGTGTTGTAATACGCAGGCAGGAACAGATCCTGCTGGCCCACCAGCGGACTCGCCCACGCCCCGGCCTGGTGCTCGTCCACCTCCCAACACTGCCGGTTATAGATCCCGCTGAACTCCTTCGCCGCAATGTCCCCGTGGAACGAGACCATTGCGCGCTGCACAATGCCCACGTAGTCCTCGTCGCTGAGGGCCCCGACGCTCCGCGCGTTTGTCCCGGAGATGTAGCTGGCTAGGACGACGCCCGGCCCCGTGCCGTTCATGTTGAAGGACGGGTAGCAGATTGAGCCGACGCCTGGGACGTCGACGCTCCCGCAGCCGCCGAAGATCGGGTTTGGGGACTGGTGTTCCCAGAAGCGGGAGGTGTAGAGGAGGGAGAGTTTGCAGGAGGGGCTGTAGTTCATTTCGTCGATTGCGCGGGACAGTAAGCTCGAGTAGCGGGGGAGATCCCACAGGCGGACTTTGCTGAAGGGGGCGGCCACGACGGCGTAGTCGTATTCTTGGCTCTCGGGGTCCATAGCGAGCGGGTCGTCGCGCCATGTCACCGCGATTTTGGAGGATGTCTCGTTGTATCTCAGACCCGTGATCTTCCGGTTGAAGGTTGTTTTGTTGGCGATGTGTGGGTAGAATGCGCGGGGCAGGGACTCGAGACCCTTGTCGATTGTGCGGAATTCTGTTGCCGCGAAGTATACGTTGTCGTAGATGTCTCCCCACATTGGGCTTTCGGGCCCCGAGCCCGCGACGTAGTCTGTGACGTTGTCGGAGTATCCGAGGGCGTATCGCAGGTATCCGGCTTCGGACCAGTGGAAGAGCCCGTGCTCGACGGCGGTCTTGTGCGCGCGGAAGATGTTGTCCGCGACCTTTTTGGTGGAGAGGCCGTCGTGGGAGAGGTATGCCTCGTATGCAGACTCGGCTTCGTCGACGGTTGTTGTGTTCGGGCCTGCCGCTGTGTAGACTAGGTCTGGGTTGGCTGCGACCTGTCCAGCGGTTGGTATGCGGCCGTTCGGTAGCCGGTTCCCGCCTGCGGAGGCGGGGACGTTCTCGCTAGTCTGGATGAAGGGGATGAAGTCGACGCGGAGGTCGGGGTGGGTCTTCTCGTTCATCTTGGTGAGAGTGTCGCCGAGCTGGAAGACCATCTTGTGGTCCTGGATCTCGAGCGTCTCGTTCTGCTCGGGGTATGTGATGGACACGGGGAAGCGCATGGGGCCCATTTCCTGGTACTGGTATTGCTCGGGGGTGGTGTTGTTGAGGTACTGCGTGCGGATGCGGCCGCCGACGCGGTGCGACGATTCGTGGATGTGCCAGTTGTGTAGGCCGACGGAGGAGAGGAGGAGCGAGGTCATGAGGCCGGACATGCCGCCGCCGATGATGGCGATGGAGCTGTTCTTTGCGTTGGCGACGGCGGTCTTGCCGGGTTCTTGCGCGGACATGTATGCGACGCCGTCGAACCAGGGGCCCATTGCGTCGGCGTAGTCGGCGATTGCGAGGGGTTCGCGGCGGACGATGGGGGAGGAGATGGGGATTGGGGAAGAGCGGCCGAGGAGGATGTGGTCGGAGGAGAAGGCGTGTAGGCAGGAGAGATGTGGTGCGTCGGATGGTGTGATCCAGACGATGCGCTCGGGGTGGGCGTCGCGTTTGATGGAGAGGGTGCCGAGGGAGTGGTGGTGGTTGCTTGTGGAGGTTGAGTCGCAGTCGCCGTAGACGATGTGCAGGTCACCTTCGAAGGAGGAGTCGGCGAAGTCGAGGTGTACATTGTGCAGGGAGTCGGCGGTCACAGAAGGGGTCCGGAATTGGAGGAGGGAGGGTTGGGTGTTGATGGTGAGGGAGAGGGCGCCGTGGGAGAGGGCTAGGCCCAGGCTGAGGGAGGAGAGGGTCCTCATTTTGGGCGCTATTTACAATTGAGGGAGACGGTCTATGCAGTTACATGTCTGGGAGACGGCGGTATTTAAGCATCTAGGAAGAACGATGGAGGCAAAAGCAAAGATATCCTGTCCATTTACGTAACTCCATTGGAAGACTCCAAAAAGACGCTCAGAGACGTTGATATCGAGAAACGTTATCAGGATAAGACGGTATTCGGCCGTGCTGGCCGTCTTAGTGCGCTTGTGCTACTGTGATAGCCCGGGCGTGGGCACGGTTGGGGTAAGACTGGAGCATCGGATGATTCTTATCAGTGCATATGGGGTTGGAGCACAGGAACCTTGCTCGTACAGGATTCTGATTTGGGCCAGTTGGAGAGCTGAAGAGCTTGGCAACGGCCATTGATAAGGGCCTTGTCACCGTTAGGGCGTATCTTATCTGCCTGGACGTCATGTTGGAGATGCTAAGGTGGAGTTCTTGGTTATAACGGTAGCGGTGTGCTCCATATCGTCTCTACTATGTTGTCACTCATTGGAGCGCGTTGCCGACGCCGCCGATAGCCCTAACTGCCCGGTAGAAGCGCTCTCGGAACCTCGCAAGCTTCCGAGGGATATTCCTTACACAACAGCGCGAATATTCGTACTCTGGATCAGCCGTGCCGCCAGAAGAAAGACGCTTCCAACCATGAGGCTGGCCCCGGAGTATATGGACAGGGATAGGTAGCCGTACCGCGCAGAGAGCTCCCCGCTAATTGGGACACTGGCCATTGCCCTGTCTTTGTCAGCTGACTCCAATGAATGCCCCAGGGAGAGACGTACGAGAAAGATGACGCGGCGAATATTGTCCCTACGGCAAGGCCAATCGTCTGGGGAGTGGCAATCTGAGCGGCGCACACTTGTTGCAGGGATAGGATGGCCTGACTGGTTAGCCTCAATCTTGTTTGTCCGGATTGAGCGACTCACCCCAGATGTAAATCCGTACGCAACTGAGAAGACCACAGTGCCTGCAACGGACGTGGCTTTTGTCCAGCACATGGCGATCACCCCGGAAACAAAGGTAAAAGCAATGCAGCAGTTGAACCGCCCGTACTTGTCGGCGAGCATGCCGGGTAGGACACGACCGAACAGCGACGCCCCGTTCAAGATGGAGACCAGGTAGAAGGCCAGATCACTCGACAGTCCAATGTTGACTGCGTACGATGTTATGAAGAAGATGGGCCCGAACATGCCGAAGTAGACAAAGAAGAAGGCCAGGCATAGCAGGCGCATGGTGGGCGTCTTGAGGATGGAAAAGTCCAGTCCGCCCTTCTCCTTTGGTTTCTCTTCTGGCGACTCCAGAGTGGCAACCTGACCCGGGGCAGAACGGCATAATGTGCAAGTGAGGCAAAGAAGAGGAATCATGATGAACCCGATGATTCGCATCGTCCAGCCGAACCCAACACTCTCCCTCTTCAGCAGCTCGTTGATGGCAATGGGCCAGACAATGCCCCCAAGCGAAGAGCCGGCGATGACGATTCCCACGGCTGCACCTCGCTTGACTTTGACATACTGCCCGACGAGAGCGATAGGTGGTGTCACCAGCAGCGCCATCCAAATGCCCATCGAGACGGCCTGGGCGAGGAGGAACTGGTAGAATTTGTGGCAGAGCGACGACATCATGATGGAAAAGACGGTGCCTACGGAGCCGACGCAAAGCAACATCTACCAGGGAATCAGCTTCGAGCTTATAGAATGGTGTCGGTACATACCCTTGGCCCGAACATGTCGAGCAATGGTCCTGAAATAGCCGAGACAATGTAGATGAAGAACATGATAACCCCTCCTAGCCATGCCACGGTTGATTCGGACTCATTGGACAGCTGGTGCTTCAGATAATACTCCTGGAAGACGGCATAGGAGTTGACGAATCCGACAGAGCAGAATGTCGCCAGGAAGGCACCGAATATGACAGCCCATGCACGGGGTCTGTCCCTCGTTAGTACATGTTCCGTAAAGATATATATCATGGACAACGGACGTATATTCCGTGGGATGTTTCAGAGATTCATCGCTGGACGACATGCTGTATGGCACTGTTTCACTTTGGCTTTGGAAGACAAGACTGCAGATCCATCGACAGTATCCGAGGCGCAAGGTTCTTATATGTTTGTAGAATCTCTTTCCATCTGCATCAGGGGCCTTGTCCAGTCCGGAGGCTCCGCGGAGAGTCCGGTCGCCCCACTGAAGTCCTTTTCCCTCCGGCCTTCATCGTCCGCATCCATCCCACACTTCATCAAAATCCATTCATTATGAAGCGAAATGATGCTTCAGACCAAGCTGTCAATGCCAAAAGGCCTCGTCGACAAGATCCGGTGTCCTGTGAATCGTGTCGGAAGAAAAAGCTGAAGTGCGACCGACAGCGGCCCTGTGGCAGCTGCCTCACCCGCCAACTGGCCTGCTCGTTCCGTAGCAACCAGAGCACAGTCTCAGAGGCTCCGAGTCCCAGCTACAATGTCAACAGCCCCGTTCGCAATATCCCTAGTCCCCGGCAGTACCTCCGGGAGCCTCAGACCGCAAAGCCTCCCCACAACAAAGAGTCCTCCGAGACAGCAGACTGGCTGGAGCACATCCACATGGGCGACCGCGTCCCAGCTGCTGTTAGCCCTCAGATCCAAGCTGGCTTGGAAGATCAGACTCCGGAGAGTCAGGGTCAGAGCCCGGCCAGCACCCTGTTGTCCATCCTGGACTCGTGGGTCCCAAACGACAACCCGGCCACGGTGGAATTGATCAAGTTTCTGCCAGCAGAGTCTGATACACAGGCCCTGTTCAGCTACTTTTGCCGCTACATCAGCTATCTCTATCACATCATTGTGCCCCACGTTGTCGAGGGCCAGATCAACGAGGTGTACCGGTCCCTCAACCGTGAATCCCCCGTCAACTACAACCACCTTGCTCTTGTCTTCGCAATAACCGGCTCTTCGCTCTTCTTACAATGCTCCATTGACTCCTCTTCACACGCTGCGCGATGCAGTCAGCAGTTCTCGTTCCTCACCGGTGCTGCCTTGATTCAGGCTAACTACCTCTCATGGCCCACCATCGAGGGGCTTCAGGCGGTGCTGATCGCGTTCCACAACATGTCAAATATGCACTGCTCCGCGTCCGTTCGGAGCCTCTTCACCGTCAGCCACATCATTGAGCAAGCTAAGAATATGATGCTACACCAGGTCGACACGCCTCAGGCGCGGAAAAAGAGAGAATCGCAGTGGGTTGACCCTGTGACGGTAGAAATACAACGCCGTCTGTGGTGGGATGTTGCATCGTTTGACTGGTATGTCCATACTGCATGGCCAGGCAACCACTAACATGCATCCAGGTGTCTGTCCTTCCTTAGCGGCCCCCAGGAGTGGACGTACATGGTCAATCCAGCATTCATGCACACCGACAAACCCTCCAACATCGACGACGCAGCAATAGGAAAAACACCACCACAACCATCCACAACACCAACATCCATGTCCTTTTTCCTGGAGCGCCTGAAATTGGCCGAAACATGCAGAGGCATCGTCGACACCCTATCATCGGACCAACTAACCGGCGAGGAAGTCGAGTACTCGAAGATTCTCGATCTCGATCGCAAGCTGCAGGAAGTCCAGAGAAGCGCCCCGGACTTCCTCAACCTCAGCTCGACTTCTCGCCAGCGATACGCCGAGCTCTACCAGCACCGCCCAAGCCTGGCCTGGCAACGCTGCATCCTGCAACAAGGCTACTACTCCCGTCTCTGCCGCCTGCACCGCCCGTTCTTCATCCGCGGCGCCCGCGACCCAGCATACTCCTACTCATACATGGTAGGACTGAATTCCGCCCGCAAGGTGCTGGAGATCAAGCGGATGATGGACGAGGACGAGCCGCGATTCACCCCGTCCAGTTCTGCTGTGTGGTCGATCATGCACCACGTCTTCATGGCAGCCGTCATCCTTCTCCTGGACGTATGCTACAACCGCGACGACATCCTCGACGAGAAGCGCAAGGAAGAGGTCCTGGCTGCGTGCCGGATGCTCAACAAGGCGCGGCAGTCCTCGGCGCTCGTCAAGGAAGGCATCGATGCCATGATGGGTGTGTTGCAGGAACATTGTAAGAGCGAGATGCCCGCCATGCCTCCGACTCTGGAAACGCAGCTGCCTCCGTCGGTGTCTGAGCATGCTGTCCACCTGCACGTTCCTCTACCGTCCCCTCCGGTATCTTCGGAACAGACCCCTCAGAACAGAGACTTGGAAGATATCTGGGCAGAGCTGATTGATTACGGTGGGAACATGGATTTCGGGACCGATGATTGGACGGGGCTCTTTACTGATATGACGAGGGCGGCGTTGCCTCTGGCATAGGCTCCCAGCCAAGATATGCCGCGGTATTAAATGAGTTTTATGAATGTTAAATTGAAAGATCCGAAATAAATGATCTCGACTCCGTATCCGGCCGGATGGCCTGCTCACGCTCTATCAGCCTCCCTGACCAAGCCCTCCGAGCAAAAAAAAACATACAACAGCTGGGATTCGCATGTGGTCACCCACCATACTACTAACCAGCCGGCGTGTGGCTTAAGTACGGCTGAACGGACGGGAAGCCCTGTTCTCCACACCCTGTGGTCGTATGTGCTGGATTTCTGTATGAAGCTGCTAATATAGGACGCTGTCAGCAAAGACGGGGTCAGGTATTAGACGGTGGACAATGCGCATGATACTGTCTCGGTAATGAGGTGCCACCATTGATTATACCATGTATGAGCTATCTCGCAATAAGATTCCAGAAGGCCCAGTGGGGAATTGCAATCTCGAGACCTTAACCTCTAGGTCGCGACAACTGCTCCAAGCGCTCATGAATAGGTATCCTTGAAAAGCCCAGGCGTCGAAAGTAGACCTAACCTCACTGCAGCAATTCCCCATCTAGAGTCCCAACAAAGTAAGTCAAAATACTTGACTCTCAAACCTCCAGCCTGCTTGGGGTTAACCTGCGAAACCACACGTGGAGACCAGGCGGGCCGCTCCCGCTCCACCTGCAGTGTTCCGCGACCTCGGGACCAATTAGAATAGGGCACAGTATGCACTGGGAGCACAAGCACAGAATCAACTACAGCGGATATTACATTATATAACAGAGGAGGACTGAGATGTGTACGAGTCTGCGACCTAAGTAGTGGTCCAGATATAAGAAAGTGTCCCACCATTTATTCATCTTGAAACATATAATATCATGTAACTTCCCGCCGAATAAACCTTCGACATGTGCTGCGTTGGGTGTTGAACAGGTGTCTATACCTGGGGATTGTGAGGTAGGAGTGTTGCATGAAGACGGAGGAATGGGCGCTGTATGATTAGTTGTAGTGCGCCATTATCCAACTGTTTACCCAGTTGAACAGAGTTTCGGATTATCAGTCCGAAAGACCTCTACAGTCGGTGCCGGTGACCTCATAGAGACCACCACTCACCCACCCACTAGACCACACAGGACTTGACTTGCAGATGCCTAACAACGAAAACCCCATGGCCGCCGACAACGACGACTCAGCCGAATGCGCCTTCCTGGCCGACCTCACCCCTTCCCTCCTTCCGCACTACCAATATCGGGGCCCGCAGCAGTTCATACAGGACTACGAGCATGCCCGGGAAACCACGATGGAGAGCACCGAGTGGTTTCTGCTCGAGGGGCTCCCGCGCGACGCGTTCGAGCAACACTTCTGTCTGGCCGAGACATCTCCATTCCGAAACTGGTCGGCGTACAGCTCTTCCTTGAATCGCCTCGTCGCCAGAATGCCGCGCGAGGCACACGAAATCGCGACTTCCACTTTCCTGGAACTGATCACGGAGGCTCAAATTGCCATGGGCTTGCGGCGCTCCCTCCGCTCCCTCCTCGCCACTACAGCCTATCAAGGGGGCGACGCAAAGCAAGCCGATAACGCGTGGATTCCTGCGCACACGCCCATCGGTCGCCGGAGAACGCGATTTGATCAGATAAACGCGGACCCCGCACAGGGCAGGCCATGGCCGAGCGCCGTGCTGGAAGTCGGTCTCTCGGACTCGGAGTCGGAGAGGAAGCTGAAGGGTGATGTGCGATGGTGGTTGCGGGCGTCATCGGCCGAGGTCCGCCTTGTCTTTACGATCAACATCAACAGAACCCGCCCCGAGCTCGTAATCGAGTCTTGGGTGCCTCACCCACATCGTGACGGTGGTCGCCTTGATAGTACGGTCACCATCGAGAAGGACGAGGATGGGAGGGTAACTGTTCGCGGCGCTCCCCTGGTCATCAGCTTCGAGAGACTGTTTCTAAGAGCCCCCGATGGCGAAAGAGAAGGAGACATTGAAATCGAGGAGGGAGATTTGCAGGACCTGGCTGAAGCTGTGTGGGAGTCGCAAGGCTTCTGAACGCGGCATGGGTACTTGTGCCGACTGTCTCTCCTTGCAGACCATCTAATAAGCCCACATCTTATCCGATTCATGTATTTCATAATCACACCTCTAGTTCAACACTTCGTATCATATACAGCGTCAACCGTTGAACGGCTGCCATCTTGGTACATTCACAGCCCCTTCCATTTACCCCGTACCTCCTCCGCCGTCCTCAGAATAATCTCAAACGCTCTCTTGATATACTGCTCCTCCGCCCGCTCATTCGCACTAACAACCCGAATCGCATAGATCCCCGCCATAACCGTGCTCGTGATGAAGATCTCCCCGCGCGCATTGATCGTCTCGTAGACTTCTTTCGTGACCGCATCAGCCTTCTCATCGGGCTTTACGATCACCCCGTTCACGTCAACACCATTCCCATTCGCCAGGTGCGCAGCCTTAACCCGGAACACCGTAAGTCCAAACACAGGCTTCGTGACAATCTCAAACAAATCACCCCGAGAGCGGACCAAGTCCGCGAAGGTCTCGCCCAGCGTAATTCCCTTGCGCACGAAACTCTTCATACCAGAGAGTCCATAGCTGCGCATAACGAACCAGATCTTCAACGCCCGGAACCGGCGGCCCAGCGGAATACTCCAGTTGCGGTAGTCGATGACCTGCCCGGACTCGGAGAACGGGTTGCGCAGGTACGCGGGCGTGATGTCGAGGAAGTCCGTGAGGTCGTGGCGGTTGCGGACGTACAGCAGACTTGCGTCGAAGTTGACGAGGAGCCACTTGTGCATATTGACGTTGAAGCTGTCGACGCCGTCCGCGAAATCCTGCGCGATGTACTGCCACTCGTCGGCGATCAAAGCCGCACCCGCATACGCCGCGTCGATATGCACCCAGATCTGGCGCCAGGCCGGCTTCTCCTTCAGCACGGCCAGGATCTCCGCGAAGCGATCGACCGCACACGAATTCGTCGACCCGAAGCACAGCGTGATGAAGTACGGCGTTAGCCCCTTGCCGTCTAATTCCTCCAGCATGCATCGCAGTTCGGCCCCCGTAAGCGCCATGTCGTTCTCCAAGGACACTGCGATACTGCGGTACCGCGTGCCGGCCAGCAGCGCCGCCTTGGCCGTGCTACTGTGTGCCTGGCTGCTACTCAGTGCAACGAGTTTCGGGCGGAGATCCATGACTCTGTCTTCGTAGGCTTCGGTGCCCTCTTTCAATCCCTCACTCTTCGCCTGCGCATGCACGCGCCGTTCCCGTGCCGCAATCATAACCGTCGCCACGGCGTCGCTGGCGCTCATCTGAATAACACCACCTCCTTTATTCTCGCTCGTGGAGAGGAAACAGTTCGGTAGAGCCAGTGCCTGCGCCATCCAATCCATCATGACGGTCTCGAGCTCCGTGCAGGCCGGGGAGCACAGCCAGTTGAAGGCCGGGGCGTTGAATGCGGCAGAGTACATCTCGCCGAGGATGGAGGGGTATGTGACGGTTGCGGGGAAGAAGGCCATGAAGTTGGGGGATTGCCATTGTGTGATGCCCGGCTTGATTTTGGCGTCGATGTCAGCTTGGATGGCGGGCCAGGATTCGGGGGACTCTGGCGGGGAAGAGGGGATTTGGGGGCGCAGGTAGCCTGGTTCGACGGTTGGGAGGACGCGTTGGTTCGGGATGTTGTTGAAGTAGGTGATTACTGCGGAGGTTAGTGGGTGTTTCCAATGTAGGTGGGAATGGGGCGTTGGACGGACTGTCTTCGATTGTTGCATGGGCTGCGTCTCTGAATTGCTCGGAGTCCATGTTGCGTGTGGTGTCGGAAGCGTTCCGAGGGGGTTGGGTGCGGTGCGGAGGGTGAGGGGGTCGTAGGGACGGGATTGGCGGTCGGACGAAGCCCTAATATGTCAATTGAGCGGTATATATATCAAGAACTCGTGGAAATGTGATAGAGAATGAGAAAAGCAGGCAGCGAGCAGTGGTGGGTGTAAGAGAGAAGAGAAGGGGTCTTGAGAAAAGTCTGGAGGGGTCCTTGTCAGCGGAATCGGCGTTCCTTTTATCGATAAGGCGTCATGTCGAAAGGCGTGGTGGGCCCTGATTGCGGATCTCTTCCGCCCGTTCCGATGGGCGTTCCGGAGGCCCTGCAATGGCGTGCATAGCAAGACAACTATAAATCATTGCAAGGGACCGGTTGCGGTGCACTAAACAGTTTTCCGATGGGTTTGCGAGGAGTCAACTACAGATAGCTTCCTCTTTTGTCTGACCAACCTATCTCTTCACTTGCTATCTCCGCCGAGCGCGGGGCGGAATGAAGCTCGGAAATACATTTCATTACCAGTCACTGTGACAACCCACACCCGGAGCGGGTGTTGGTTATTTAACACCTAATAAAAACTGGGTCCTAATAATAATTTTAATTTTATATAGGATTTCTATACAAATTTAAAATTATATATTTATTAAAATAACTAAGCCATGTTATTAGATAATAAGCTTAAATTTAAAAACTAATAATATAAATTTATTAAGTATTTAATAGTACTTTTCTTTTTTTTATTAAAAATTTAATTATAGTACTTTTTTAATAACCTAAATCTATATATTTACTTTTTAAGCCTTTTTTAAATATTAAAATAATTTATAAAGAACCCCCCTTAAGATTAATACTAAATTAAAACTAAAATTATAAATAATATATAGTTAAAATTTAAGCTTTATAATAGTTATAGTTGGATTCTTATTTAAATTAATAATATTTTTTAGTTTATATAGGAATCTTATATAAAAAAAATTATTATTAGGACCTAATTTTTTTTAGGCTTTAGATAACCCACACCTGCCTCAGGCGGTGTGGGTCATCGAGTGACTGGTACAGAGAAAATGTCGGACGCCCGGAGGGCCGGCGCCCAGGACGCGCCTATCCTAATTAGGACTAGCGCAGCACGTGATAGTTAAGGTTTTTTTATAACTTACCGCTTGCTATATATAAATAATTTAAAGGTTTATTATAAGTAATATTATTAGCTAGTTATTAGGTTATAAGCCCTTAAACTTTTTTAATTATTTTAAAATATTATTTAAAATTTTTTAAGTACTTTTATAAGCTTTAAAGCTTGTAATAAATATTATTATATATTTTTTTATTTTTTTAAAGCATGATTTTTAATATTTATTATTTATAAATTAATAAAACTATAATTTTTTAACTAATTAAAACATAATATTTAATATAATTAAGTTTTATTAAGCTATTTCTATTATAAAAATACTTAATTTTATTATAAAAATACCTTAATAAATAACTTAGCTAATAAATTTCCCTAATTTTTTATTTAAATAAGTATACTATAAGTACTGCCTGCTTAAGGTAATAATTCCTGCTATTATATACCTGCTTAGGATTAAATTTATAAGCTAAATTAATTATAATAAATAATTTAATTAGGTAAAAAAATATTTACAAGCCTTATACCTTTTTTAATTAATTAATTTTTTACTTGCCAGGGTGCCCAAGAATAGGCTATATTAAAAATATTAAAAAAATTATTTAATACTTATTATTAATTAGCTTTTAGGCTAAATTAATTATAATATTTATATTAAAGTTATAAGATCCCTGTATTTAATAAAGTATATTAATAAAATATTTAATATAATATACTAGATTATTATTAAATAAAATATATTCTAAATTACTAAGGTAGTACTTAGTATTATTAATATATATAAAAACTAGTTTTTTATTACTTTTAAGTTTATTATAGTATTTATAACTATATAAAATATTATTAAAAATCTATATATTATTATTAAACCTAATATTATTATATTATTAGTTTTTTAAAAAATCCATGGTAACCTTAAAATATAAGCTATATTTTAATAATTATTTTTAATTAATAAAATCTTAAAAAATTATAGTAAAAATAACCTAAAATAATTATATAAAAATATTATAGCTAAAGCTAAAATAATTATCTTACTTATTACTATAGCCCTACCCTTAAAAAAGTAAAAAAAATAAGTTTATTATAAAAAATCCTATACTAAAGCGCTTACTAGCCCTTTAAATAATATAAATAAAAATAAATAAGCTAATTAAATAAAGTAAAAAAATAATAAAGTTTATTTATATAAATATTATAAATATAATAGCTACTTTTAAAAAAATTATTATTATTTAAACCCTTAACTTTAATTTAATAATTAAATTAAGCTTTTTAAAGTACAAGTACTATACTTAAATAAAACTAGTATAAAATTATAAGCTATAACTTTATATAATAATAATAAATTTAATAATTATAACTTTAAATATAATAAATTAAAGCCTAAAATTAGCCCTAAATTTTTAGCTATACCTGCTTTTATTATAATTACTAAATTAATAAAGTAGCTTATAAATATAAAATTAGCTAAGTTTATTTTCCCTAAGTACTTTAACTTTAAAAATTATATAAAATATAGCCTAAACTACTTAAAATATTTATATAAAATATTTAGTAAAGTAATTAAACATGTTAAAGATTATAAAATACTAATTATTATTATAAAGGGTGTAAATAATATATATAAAAAAATTAAGGTTTATAAATATCACGTGCCTAAGGCTTTAATTTACTTATTATTTATTAAAAGGCTAAAAAAACACTTAGTATATAATATTATAAAAAAATAATATTTTTATTAGCTTAAATAAATTTATTATAGGGCAAGCTTATATATATTATAGTATTTTTTTTAAAGTTTATATTTAAATAATATTTTTAATTAACTATAATTAATATAAATTTATTTTATAAGCACCTTAGCCACGCGGGCATTCCTAAACTTTATATTATAGTTTAAGTAAAAAGCCTTAATATAAATATTATTAATTAATTAAACTACTTTGCTTGCCTTAAGGCTAAATTTTATAAAATATTATTTTAGCTTGTCCCGCGGGAAGTAGATCCAGGAGAATTATAATATATAAATATATAATTTATTTAATTAACTAAAATTAGTAAATTTAACTACTACCTTATAATTATTAATAATACCACCTAATTAGCCGCGGTATACTATATTAAAAAAAAGTATTTTAATAATTAATATTACACTAAAAATATTATAAACACCTTATAAAATAATATATTCACGCTATTAAAATAAATAATAATAAAAATTTTTTTAAGTATAAGGCCTAGGCTAAGTTAAAGAATTTAATATTTTAACCTTTTGTACTAAAAACTTTAAAATTTAATAAAATTTTAAAATATTATACCTAGTATATTAATATAACAGCCTAAGCTATAAGAATTAATATTAGTTTATTAAAAAAAGTATGGCCTAAAAAAATTAAGGCTATTATTAAAACCTTAAATTAACTATTTATTATTAAAAATTTTTATAATAAGTTACCTTTATAGCTTTAGTGCGAATATTATTAAATTAATAACTTAATATCCTATTTTAATAACTTCCGCGCTTATAGCTATAAATTATATATTTATATATTAATTAAAAATTATAAATAGTTTTACAAGCTTGCTATAAGAGCCTTAATTAGCTATTTAATTAAATATAAAAAAATAATAATAAAATCTTTTAAATATAGGTTCTGGGGAAGCGGGTTTACTACTTAAAATATATTTTATTTAATAAATTAAAGTTTTATAAAAATAATTACTTGCTTAATACTATATTTATAAAGGGTGCCTTACCTTAATTAAATAAATTAGCGCCAGGGGCTACTATATATAATACTAAGCTTAATAATATGCTTATTTTTAAGCTAATTTTAATAATCCAGGCGCTAAAAATATTAATTACTAGCTAAATTTAAACTATATTCCTAACTTTATGGCGCTAACTAATTTTAATATTATATAATAATATTAAATTAAAGCTACTAGCCTTATTAATATTAAAGTGCTAGGTTAACTTTATTCTAGTATTAATATAATACTTATATATTAAAAATATAAGAATTTTACTAAAATAATTAATTAATAATAAAAATAATAGTACTAGCATGCCAAGCCTAACCTTATTAAATTATTATAATAACCTTAATTTAGCAACACCACCTTAATTTTTAATAAAAGGTATTAATACTATAATAACACCGGTTTATATACTATTATTAATAAATTTTATTAATTAATTTTAAATATAAATTATATTATTTTTACTAGTAACCCAAGCCCTACCTACTTTATATTTTTAAAAGCTTTAAAATAACCTTAATTTACTAGGATTAGCGCTAAATAATATTTAAAATATATATAAATAAATTTTTAAAATAAACTACTTTAAGCCATATATATTTAACATAAATATTAATATAGTATTAAATATACTAATTAATTAGGATTTAAAAATATTAAACTATAAAATACTAGGCTAATTCCCTAATTAACTAAAGGTTTTATTAATAAAGGCTACCTTATATAAGATAAATATAAATACTAATATTTTTAATATAATAGTTATTTTATTAACTAAACACCCTAAACCTTATATTAATTATAACTTATTAACTAAAGTAACCAAGTACCTTAATACTAAAGTTATTAAAATACTTAAAAAAATAGTTTAGTATTTATTTACTAAAAGGTTTTAAATATTAGCTAAAGCTAAATTATATATTAATAATATTAAAGTACTAAAATCTTATAAAAAAGCGCGGTAATTTAAGTTTTTTAATTAATAAAAAAAGCTATATTAATTTATATTAATATAATAGTTATTATAAATATATAAAAGCTTGTTAAATAGCTAAAAAAGGCTAAAATTATTTTTAATAAATAAATATTTATACTTAAAAGTAATAAAAATAACTTTATTTTATTATTTAAGGCTTAAATTATCGCGTGTAGTAACTACTAAATTATTAAATTAAATTATAATAAAACCTTTTATTTAGTTATAGTTAATATAATAGTTAAATATATATTAATAGCTATAGCTATTTAAAGGCTTAGCTAACGCTAATTTAATATTATTAATACTTATTTTAATATAAAAATAATTAATTAAAAAATTTATATATAATAACCACGCGGCCACGGGATTAATAATAACCTTATATATAAGGTATAAAAAGCCTTATTTAGCCTTTATAACTTTATATACTTATAAAACTAGAAATTTAATTAATTACTACGTGCTAAGGGCTTTAAGCTATTTATTAAAAAACTTTATATATATATTTAAAAGTTACCTTACACGCTAATTATTACTTATATAAATAATAATATTATTACTAGTAAAATAAAAATTAATATAAATATTATTATTAGCCTTTTATAAAAGATTTATAAACTTAAAATTAATAATAAGCTAACTAAATTTTTTAGATTAATAATATTTTATAACTATAAAAATAAGATAATTTACCTTTTTTAAGCTATATATATAAAATAAATAGCTTAATATTTTAGCCTTACTAAGGCTAGGCTGGTAAAAATATTAATAATAAAGGGGTATATTAAAATTATATAAAAAGTTAATTAATTAAATATTATAAATTTTAATATATTTTTAATTTTTAATACTTTTAGCGCTCACGCCTTTACTTAATTAATTAAATTTTTTAGCTAGCTTAAAAAAACCTGTGTTAACCTTATATACCTAGTTTAATTTTTATAATATTAATAAAAAATTTTAATTACTAATAATATAGTAGTTACTAAGCATGTAGTTTATTATATTATAATTAATTAAAGTAATTTAATACTTGCTAAGACCTATATAAAAAAATAATTATTTATTTTAATATATTTTATTAAAATTATTTTAATAAAAAGTTTATTAAGGGCTTTATTATATATTTTTATAAGTTTTTTATTATATAAAGTTTAAAAAAATAAGTAGTTATAATATTTTTATTTATTATAATAAAATTTTTAGTATTTAATAAGGTTATTAAAATAACCTTATTTATAAAAAAGCTTGCTAAGGCGCTTAAAGTATAAAATAATAAATTAATTATAATATACTTTAATAATACTAGCGCTATTACTAATACTACTAATTAAAAATTTTTAGTTATTACATGCTAGTTAGTTAATAAATACTTTTTTATATAAAATATTTATAAGTAATATCTTATAAAGTTTTACCACGTGTTAAAAAAAAAACCCTATAAATAAAATAATTAAATTACTAAAAGTAACTAAGTTTACTATTTTTTAAAATATAACAGGCCTTAAAAAAGCCCTTTAATTAATAAATTAAAAATATAAAAGTTTTATTATTCTTGTTTTTAGTAATATTTCCTATTTAATATATATATATAGCTTTATAATATAGCCATGTATTACTTAATTACGCGTGGCCAAAACAAAGTGGAGGCCAAAGCGCATGATAATTATAGGTCCCGGCTCCTAGTCACGTGAGCTTTATTAGGGATTATGTAAAATAATAAAATTGCTTAGGGTTACTATAATTAATTTAAAAAAAGTACTATTATATAACCTTTTTTTACTACCTAGACCTTGTGGCGTTAGGGTTGCTATAATTAATTTAAAAAAACATTATTATATAATTACTTTTAACCACCTTTTCTTTCCTAGCTCTAGCATAAATATATATATTTGCCTTGTAAAGCCAGGGGGGTTTAAAAGGGTGTAGCCCCCTTAGTTTTAGAATTCTTAAATACTACTTAAAGGCCTTATTTTATAGAGAAATAAAGCTACGCCGTATTTTCTAATTAGGCTAGTATTATTACCACTATGGTGTTGTAATTACGCAGTATTGCTAATTTAGCGGCCTAAGGCCGCCTAATAAAGGAACTTTAGCGCCGAACTAGCGCGCCAAGGCAGCAGCTAGTTACATAATGCATAAAATACTAAGTTTAACTTAGAACTCTAACTTAAAGATACTATAAATATACAACGCCTTTTTATTAAAGGCCTTATTTTATAGAGAAATAGAGCTACGCCCTATTTCCTAATTTGGCCAGGTGAGTCTTCCGCGCCACGCGCATTACTCCCGGCATTAAAGCCTGCGCCCTAGAAATGACGGGACCTACGTTAAAAAGTATGTTAAACACCTAGAGGGCCGGCGCCTGGAACACGCCTATTTTAATTAAAACTAGCGCAGCACATAATAGTTAAGGTTTTTTTATAACTTACCGCTTGCTACACATAAACAATCCAGAGGTTTATTATAAGCAACGCTATTAGCTAGTCATTAGAAAATAATCAGATGGCCTGCCAGGCTGACATTGTGCGACAGCGGAATAAAGAGCACCACATTACATCAAGACCTGCTGCTAGAATCTCCCACTGCAGTGGGTAAATACAATACATAATGGGCCCAGCGAAGGTTCAAACGTGCTGGGATCGGAACGTGCTAAAGTGCCTACAGGGAAGAACATCCAGGCAGCTAGCGACTGTGGCATAGGTCTCTGGATAGTACCCTAAACGCCAGCTATATCTCACCGACCTTCTTCGAGAACAAGACACACAATGCATCTTTGTCGACAGTCTCCCCGCCTTGTTCCAAATAGTCCCAGATCCTCTTGCACCAGTGTGTCTCGATGAAATCCCACAGAGGCACGCTAAGCGAATCATAGTCCTCATACAGCTGCTCGAGCAGTTTCTCGAAGTCTTCGAGAAGAAACCGTTCCTCATCATGTATCTCTCGGGCATCTCCATGTTCAAAAGGAAGAGTGTTGTGATACAATCTTAACGATATGTCCACGCGACAGCAGGTATGAGTAAGGGAGAGGTCAGTGAAGGTGAATAATCTGATAACGTCTCGAGCACTATCCAAGGCTGGCGATATCTCCTTGACCAGGGCCTCCATTATTGCGGCCATGTTCTGGTGATAGCAAGCAACTTCAGTCATATGCATCCACACAAACTTCAATCTACCGAACCAATGCCGGAATGCCCATGAGAATGGCGTGCAGCCTTCCAAAGAGCAAAAGCATTGACATTCGTCATGCCATCCAGTTAGCAGTGCGGATTTCACAATGTCTCGATGACGCACCGATAAATCGCTGAATTCCTCGGAAATCTTTTCAGGGAGGGTTGTAGTTCGGGTGCTTGCAAAACGCAGCAGTTGATGGATGAGCTCAAGGGCGACAAGGTGATGATATGTAATCTTCGCTTCCATATATTCAGATATCGGCGTGGCGCCCTTGCCGACAAACCATAAAATTCTGTCGATATTCCGTGTCCAAGGCTCCTGGATAATGGTACCATTTATATCAAAGTTTGAGCCCATCCTGAGGAATAGAGGACTGTATCCGCCTGAAAGCGCATTGATGTCGTGGAAACCTGCCTGGTAAAGGGTTTCCAAGATTGTGTTGGTACTGTGCATGAGAGAATGGTATATGCTCCTGTCGTCAATGGGTTCAAGAGCCGTAACACTATAAGTACTGCGTGCTCTCACTTCAAGATATACATCCATCGCGTTGTAGTCCGGTAGAATCCCACGCTTCATCCCTGTTTCATCCTGGACATGGAGTGGGAGGGTATTCTGAGCGAGCTCTAAGAGTCGCTTGCGCCGTGTAATAAATGAATCTAGCACAAGCCGCTCCATTTCAGTTGAGTTGCTGAGCGAAAGAGACCGGCCTGGCAACGCCGTATCAAGCTTCAAGAGGGCTTCAGTCACCTCGAGATCGTCACTGGCTATTGCACTCTCTAGAACTTTTACTTTATCTGCGTCTGGATAAGCTTCCAGCAAAGCTTGAAACCCGTCGTGCCAGCACAAGGATAATTTGAGTAGTGACGATGGATCAATGTTGGGGTCGCCAGTGGATGTGGTCGCTTTCGCATTTAGGAGGCTGTTTAGGCTGTGTATGGACCGTGACAGAACCGCATGGACAATATCGGAAACGAGGAAACCTAGGTTGTAGAGCGTAAGTGCTAAGGCAATTGATACTGTGATCTTGCACTGGCCTACCTTCCTCTTTCCTGGTGAACGCTTCTTGGAGAACCACCCGATTGTTATCCCTTAACAGAGGAGCCTCGGTGATTACAGCTCCAAGGTCAATCATATGCGAGATTGCGTCACTCGTCATCCATGGGTTGACGAGACAGTCAAGCGGGGTGTAATCAGCCGATCCGTAGAAGCCCGAGGAAACTTCGTTTACAGGACATCCGGCGTCTACCAGATAGTCAATCACTGCAAGATTCTTCATCCAAGAGCGTCGTTTCAGAACTGTGACGACGTAGAATTGCCAACAAGCAGCCTGATACTTTGGGTTAGCAAGCCAGCTCCTCAATCAAAGGGCACGACCTACATGTAGCAGCGTAGAGCCGTCTGCAGCCCTGTCAAGTGGGCTAGCCTTTTTGGCCTCAAAAAGCTGGCGCAGGTCGTGTATAACCGTCTCATCAAAATTGTCCCAATCTGGTGGCCCATGTTCCCAGCCGATGGGGGAACGGTACAGAATCAGGAAAGCTGGGCTGTCCTTTGATACGATTGGATGATATCGAAGACTGGGACATATCATGAAGCCATTGGCCGCTCGAGATATCGATATCATCGCCTCCACCGAAATTCCAAGCCATTGACTAGCAAAGGCGAACCTTTTCGTCCAGCTGTTGCTGCCTGCAGATCCTCGATTCAGTGGACAGGAACGTTGATGGATCTGAATGAGACTTGATATCTCCGGGCAAAGACACATTCTACGCCTGGGAGTAACGGCATGCTGTGTCCTGCTCAACGTTCCCAATGCTACAGGGGGCTGCGGCGTTCTCAGATTGCGTATCGCCGATTCCTGCCAAGAATCAGCATTATGGTACAGATAATGCAGACGAGACATACAATGCTGTTGAAACCGGCTTCGTGCCGTTGGAGGGCGCTGAGTGTGCTAGCACCTAGTGTTTGCACGAGATGGGTTTGTTGGACCAGTAAAGATGCTTGTTGTAGCTGCAGACTTGGGGGTCTCAGCGAAATACTTTCAGAGAGGCATGGGGAAGTGAGATGGCCTTACGCTAGTAGGGCAGTATGCAGATTCATCTGCAATCCCTCTAGAATGTTGACAGTATCCAGCAGCGCCTCCCTGCGGAAAGGGTACGTGATCTTCTTCCCAGCCGATCGGACCTTGTCACTTAGACCAGTGTTCTGCGTAGCCAGCGACCACTTCGCAACTCGATTGGTGATCTTCGTGATCCATTGCTCGTTCTCCAAGACTTTTGCACCAATTTCTGCTGCGATCATGGGCTGTATTGCCGGGTTCTGGCTCAGTAGGGAGCTAATGAGCTTCAGGGTGGAGAGAAGCCCCTCGGCTTTGACCTTGATGTTGTCCAGATCGTCATCGAAGCTTCGCCATTTGTCGATATATTGTACAATCAACTTGCAGCTTTCGATGCCGAGCGCGATGAGACCGGCAGGATCCGCCATCTCCGTGAGCGATTCAGATGGTGTTGAGGGAGTTGGAAAAAGGAAACAGGTCGTCGATGGGAATTTTGGAAAGGGTAGGCGACATGCTCAGCCTCAGCCAAGGCTGCATCTGCTGCGGATACAAGAACATGTCAGAGTCTGGCGGGGCCTCGGGCATTATTGCTGGGATTGTCATTCTGCGTTACCTAGGGCAAGACATACCGATAAGCGGATCTTGGCCGCCATCGAAAAACAAGCACTTCGGGTCGGATCAAATAGGACGATCGATAGAGCGCTACGAGGTTGCTTCGCTGTGTCCAAGCAGACTTTGAAGAGATGATGGGGAAGACGGAGCGCGGGGTAGACTGGGTAAGGGACGAGGCTGACTCGCTGACGAGCGACAGCCGTCCACTCCCATGCAGGCGTCAGCCCCCAATACCCAATGATGATGCACAAGTCTGCCAAGGGCGCCAAAGCGCTCGGCTGGAGACTGTGTTGGCAGTCAAGGATTCCGACCGGGGGGCTCACTCGTCTTGCAAACCCGCGGCGAGTGAATTAGGAAGGAGCCACCCCCTCACGAGGTCTCGCTGTGTCCAGCAGGCCCATATCTACTCCGCATAGATGAGCTTGAGGCATGCGCTTCCTTAGGGTTCGGACTTCCAAGGTGTGGGAGACCTCGTTTATCCTGATGCCGATTGTCCTCATCGCTCTATCTGTTTGACTGTATAATCACATACCTACCATATGTAATGAGAGAGACACCAATTAGTGTTGAATCCACAAAGTACTCTGAAGCCCACGGAAATGGCCCTTTCGACAATCTTACACTGCCGTCAGTCACCAGATCTCCGGCCTGGCGGATGACAAGGTTGTGCTTACGGTTGCACCAATGATTGTCTCTTGTTAGCTCGTCACTGATCGCAATCGGTATGCTCTGCCGAAAACCACATTGGCTATCCTACCCAGGATGTTCCTTGTAGCGTCATCGAGGCTGTCGCAGCCTCGCGAACTGCCAAATTGGGGCTCGCCACTCGCCAGCCTTGTTCCGCCCCTGTTCATAAAAGATCAGAGAATCCAATTATCGCCAATGTCATGGTTGTCCACCAAGCAAATCCAGAATGCCGATGAACTGTTCGTCCGCCTGGCAGTGGGAGCTGGCCAGCAATGGCAGCGTGGAGTTTGATGCCGACATTGTCGGACCGGGTGTATCCATACCAGTGTCTCATTAGTCGATCATTGCTGACAGCAACAGGTTATTGCGAGTTTCATTTCAGCCGCCCTGACGGCTCTCATATCCTTAGTCGTCGCATATGCTACGTTCTCGATCCCGACCGAGCTGATCAACGATATCGACGGGGTCATCGCTCGCGGTCTTCGCGCCATCTTCACTTCCCTGCGCACTCTCTTACACATACCGAGCATCGCAAAGACAGAGGGTGAGGAGGCGCGGGACGAACGAATCAAAGTCTTCCAGACATTCATGCTCTCGATCAGCGACCAGGTGCTTGTCTCCGAGATGGCCATCCTGATAGCCACCTTCGCCAAATACGACGATATCACCATCTACTCGGTCAACGTGGTGGTGGCCCTCGGATGTCTTGCATCAACAGTCCATCTTGCCATGATGCCCCTTCTGGTTCGACAGATGCGGAAACATCGTGTTATCAAAGCATCCAGATCGATATCCATGGTGATCGCAGCCATTATGTTGGTGCTGCTTCTGGTCTTTCAGATCAACGACACCTGGGGAGACGGTACCCATATTTATTTCCGATGTGCCCTCCACGACTGGAAAAAGGACGCTTACAATCTGAGCGTCAATTGGATCAGTTTTGCAGTGCAGTTGCTGGTTCCCATCTTCATCATCTATGCCAACTACGAGGTCATCCGCCTCCTATATTCCAGGAAATCGGATGACGAGACAGAAATCCCCTCGAGCGGCACTGTGACCGACGACCAAACACGTAAACGTAACCGTCTATCTCGAGTCTATGACAGTTTCTCAGGAATGCGGACATACGCCCAGCAATCGCGGATGCGCAGAGTGTGGGCGCGGCATAGAGCTCGCCAGATTATACAGAGCAATCCGAGCCCAAGAGAGCAAAGACGACATGCGTATTTTATAGCAGAAGACTGGGTCTTCCATGAATGTCAGGAGTCGTTCTTCTGGAGAATCCTGTGGCTCCTATCGGGGAATCTCTATGGTCTTTTCGATGTTTTGACCGCCAGATCCAACTCGGACGGCATCTCAGGCGAACGAGACAGCATGGGATATGGCCAGATCGTGCCTTTGGTCCTGTTGATTCTTCCAATCTTTGCTGCACTCCAGAGCATCTATGGTTCGTCTCCCTACCTTATGACTCGCGGTAGAGCTGACACGTAACAGACTATCGCGACCGTATCAAAATCCCAGAGCAGCAGACCGACTCAGCAAAGGAATATCTGACCCCATCGTCGGAGGATACTCAGCAGGTTGTGGACACTCAATCCCCAGCAAGTATCATCCGTCTCGACAGCGCAAACTGCACGGCCCCGTTAGCACGCTCAGCAACAAGTGCAACAGAACCAGACCCCTCGAGGTCGGTCCGTCGCCGGCAAACTGGACTCTCCAACAGCCCAAGACTTAATGACGAGGTGATGATGACTGTCTTCTCGTCTCCCACCCTACCGCCCGCCGAAGACGAAGCGCACCTACAAACTGGCGTCGACAAGTCCTTACGGCAGTGGGCACTGCACGACAAGTACGAAGAGATGCCCTTTGTCTCTTTCTTTGCGCTGATCCACTCGGTGTTCATGCTCGTCTTTGCCAGCCTTTACGGATGGGGCATGGCCAGCGGCTACGATTACCTGGTCCTTCCGCTGAATGTGATTCTGGCTCTTATTATGGCTAGGAGGGTCTATGGCTCGGTGTTCTTGTGGATGTTTGCGCGCAAGAATAGGCATTTATTTCGGGAGGATAATCAGTCGTCCAGGGCAGGGCAAGTGGCGCCGGACCCCAGTCAGAGGATGATGTATGCCCAGGGGGCGAATGCGGCGGCTGAAGAGGATGAGGAATAACTGACATCCATGTCATGGAAATCCTCGACTCGCCGAACCATAACGCGCTTTTATTTCCAGATTGCGAGGGGCTCTGCGTAAGAGGCAGCTACATCCATCTGCATGATCCTCCACCAAGCGGACCGCTACCTGCCCTGGGTACGACAGACGTTGAGTGACCTCTCACTTCGACCTCACAGGTGATACGATAAATAGATACTAAGCCGATATCTGCCACCTCCAGATATCCAATATCTTCTTTTTTTTGACACTTATCCGCTGTTCATACGCCCATCCCTTCCACACGAATCGGCGCTCTTCTTCTTTCCATCACCACATCTGTTGTTCACAGCGTCCACCTCATCCTGCACGTACTCAGCTACCATTCATCATATCACTATATCTTCACACCAGCAGATTCACCAACAGCAGTTAATTCACCCAGCATCACCGGAGCTCACACCATCAAGGGCATAGGCATGGCACCAACATCTGCCGGTCAGATCGCCGGTATAAAACGCCTTTTACAACATGAGGAAATTTTGGTTGACGACCCCGCCCGGAAAAGGTTAAAGATGGAAATCGAACTCGAGGTCCAACAACTAATGATCCCAGCTAACGGGCATTGTTCGGTGAAACATATGCCCACCACCCCTGAACAATGCGAGCCAAAGAATTGACAAGGACCGTCTAGATGAGTACTCCGTGTATGTGGACGAATACAAACATCCGTGGGACGCGAAGCTTGTCCACAGTGTCGCCGGGGCTAGAGATAATGATTTCTACCACCTCCAACTGCTGGTACACAAGTCAAGACAGAAGTACATCACCTGGGTCGGGCAGGGCTTGATCGGAGAGAGCCCCAGGGAGCTAAAACCTAGGTCGACACCGGACTTACTCAAGGCCAAGGCAGATTTCGAGAAGAAGTTTATGAATAAGACTGGGTATTCCTGGTGGGACCGATTCCAACCACCAGCCTCCAGCAAGGGCTTTCGGTTCACACTCCCTAGCTATGTGGTTCGCAATCCGTTTGACCCCCCATTCAGCCTCGAGAGTGCCAAAAAGATGACCTACAACATTCCGCTTCCAGAATGCACATTGCCCGCTGCAATTCAGAGGGTTATGGCGCTTATCTTGGACAAGAATCAGCTTCTAGCTGGAACGGCAGGGTATGACTCTCAGAAACTACCACTTGGTGCATTGAATAGCCAGACCCTCGTCAGCGGATGGCGAGTCCTGGACGAGTTGGAAAGCTTACTCGATAGCGTACAGCCATCTACAATGACTCCTGCGGCCCTCAGCAGTCAGTACTACAGCATCATCCCTCATGTCTTCGGATACAACAATACCCCCGTTATCTGCACTCGAAACCAGATTGAAACGGAAAGAAGTCTTCTGGAGGAGCTCTTCAACGCCTTGACGGCACGGGATATCATTGACAGCCCGAAGAGCGACTACACGCACCCACTAGACGTTGGACTCCGGCAATTGAAGCTGAAACAATTTGAGGCATGTAAGTACACCATGGATATCAACCCTACTCATTTCAAGACAAACCCTAACATCCTCCAGTGAATCACGATTCCAATGAATTCCGTCGAATCGAGGCCTACTACACCAGCACGACCAATCCGAACAGTGGCACCGCTCCCTATAAGGTACAATCGAAACACGACACGCTGTGTCTTTCCATTCCCGGAACGCCTAGCTGACGCCCAGCAGATCGTCGACATCTTCCACATCGAACGTCCCAGAGAGGAGAGTCGCTTCAAAAGCTCCCCCTACGCCCGCCACCCCCACAGCAACCGGCGCCTGCTCTGGCACGGTTCAAAAATAGTCAACTTCGCCAGTATCCTGAGCAACGGGCTGCGCATCCAGCCAAGGGGGGTACCGCTGCACGGAGCAGCGCTCGGAAAAGGGGTGTATTTTTCAGACACCGCGCAGCTCTCGCTGCAGTACTGTGCGACCGCGCCGCCAACAGACACCGCGCTGCTGCTGCTGGCTGATGTCGAGCTGGGCCAGTCGACGGTCATCGCTGGCGCCACGAATCCGCTGATACATCAGGGCTTCAAGCCAACTTCGGACTCCACGCAGTGGCACCATGCGCACGTTCCAATCAAGATCTTTAGTGACGGCGAAGACATCCATCCGCGCTTGGCGGGTGTAAAGGTACCCCATCGGCGATGGAGGCTTCATGAGATTCGCTCCCTGCCGAGCGGGTATGCGGTTTACAATGTCGCGCAGATTCGGCTGAGGTATCTGGTGTTTGTTAAGAGATGATGGGGCTGGGGGTCTACGAAGACGCGGGCGAAGAATCGCTAAATACGGTACATTCCTAAGTAGACTTCTCCTCTGATCCAGCCTATCTAGATAGTTATCAAATACCCTGACAGGGAATGAGCGGGTGCAATGGAACACCGTTGAATGGCAGCCTGGAAGATGAACATCTGTTTTAGGTGGCTCTTACAATGCTCCTAGAGCTATACATGATCATGGCTAGATGGCTCTCCCTCGTTCCAGATCTCGTACATAGTGCTCCAGTCAGGGCTACTTTAGAGTTGGGATTTACCCCTAACCCTATGTACCTGCAGCTCGAGGCCAATTCAGAATTTTTCTTAGCATTAAAACACCGAGAGATGCCTGTGAATGTGTTCAGGCAGTGAATACAGTATGCTCCATGGCAGTCGCAGCAATGGCTGATGGGGAAAGCAGTTGGGTCAAATGGCAACCTATTGTGACCAGCTTTGAAGATTATACTGTGGTGAATTGTCCACGAAATCTTCCAAACAAGGATTGTGCCGAAGGCACTAATGATCTCCAGCAAGGCAACATGTCTGTAATACTATAAAGAATTGTATAGGCTGCAAAGCAAACGCCCAGATAAGTCTCACTTTGACCTGTTGCCGCTCTTTTGTTGCTGATATAAAGCAAAGGAGGAGAATCTCCCAGCGTCAAAGGCCACGCCCATTTCTTCGCAGGTTCCCAGTTTCTTCTCTCTGCCGGGAGTTCTTCTGATCGTCCACCTTCTATTACTCTACCCTTATGCTTCGTTCTGTCCGTACGCCCATATCCCACCTGACATCGAAAATGCCCAGGGTGAAACAGATCCTGCGACTCAAACAACAGAAGCGTAAAGAAGCCGGGGAGCGCAACCCTACCTCCATCGCTGGTATCAAGCGACTGCTGGAAACAGAGGGAAGCAATGCGGAAGACGAGGCTCGCAAGAAGATGCGGATGGATATCGACACGGAGCTCCAGTCGATGATCCTTCCAGCTCATAAGCACTGCCCGTTCAAATGTGAGTGACGGCGAGACGTCTGCTAGAGTGAGAAACCCAGTTGACATTAGAGATCGCAGACGAGTACTCCATCTACATCGACTCCTATGGCCATCCATGGGTTGCAACCTTACGCCGCAGCGCTGCCGGGACGGTCGAGAACGAATACCACCATCTCCAGCTCCTAAAGCACAAGTCCGGAACCAGCTTCGTCGCCTGGGCTGGGTGGGGGAAGATCGGAAAGGGGCCAGTTATCCAGTCGAAACCCACGCCGACGGCAGACCTTACGCAGGCACGGGCGGATTTCGAAAGCCAGTTTATGCAGCACACGGGGTATGCATGGGCGAGCAGGTTCGACAACCCGCCTCAACGGGCTGGTAAGTTCGTTTACAGACCACCGGGATACCTCTCCCGTGACTGTGAACACGACCCTTTCAACCTGCAGAAGGCGCCAAAGGTCATAACGCACTTCCCCGTGCCGGAATGTGGGCTTCCGGAGGCGACCAGGGAAATCGTGGCCTATATCCTGAACCAGGATACGCTGCTGTCGGACACGACGGGGTACGATGCCAGCAAGCTCCCGCTCGGTCAGTTGGACAACAAGACTCTAGTGCATGCCTACCACCTTCTGGAGAAGCTCCTAGAGCTTATTCTGAACCCTGGGTCGGCGCAGGGAGCGACCTCAACCCATCTGGCGAACCTTAGCAGCCAGTATTTCAGCCTCATTCCGCATATCTTCGGCGACAACCAGATCCCCGTGATATCGACGGCCAACCATGTCGACGAGGAGCTGAAGCTTCTTAACGAACTGGCCAATGGCCTCCTCGCGACGAGGGTCGGCAGCGACAGTAAGAGCGACTTTGTATCGCCCGTGGAGCGCGCCCTGGAAAAGCTTAATCTTCACAATGGAGGCATTATCCCACGTCATTCGCTTTCCCTGCCTACAAGCGTTGACCAATCTAACACGATGCAGTGGACCACAAGGTAAGCGAGTTCAAGCGGCTGAAGACCTACTACGAACGTACAAGTAACCCGACGGACGCAGCAAACCCATACAAGGTAGCCCTCGCCCCAAGTCCTACCCCACACCCACCACCCAACCCAAGCTCACTAACGGATTGAACAGGTCATCCAAATCTTCCGCATCACGCGCCCCGGCGAAGAAGCACGCTTCCAAACCTCCAAATTCGCCAAGCTAGGACCCAAGCACAGCGACCGCCGCCTCCTCTGGCACGGCTCCAAACGGATCAACTTCGCGGGGATTTTCAAAGCGGGTCTCCTGATTCAGCCGAACGGCGTCAAGCTGAGCGGTTCGATGCTCGGCCACGGCGTGTACTTCTCCGACATGGCGGGCAAATCGCTCAACTACGCGTGTGGGATGCGCACGCAGAAGACCGGCCTGCTGCTCCTCTGTGATGTGGAGATGGGGCAGCGCGCCGACGGCACCTGTCGGCATCACTGCCATGGGCAGAGGCCTGTCTCGAACTTTAAGGATGCCAGTTATATCCATTCGGGGCTGAGGGGGTTGAAGGTCGTTGATGTGGCGGGGAAGAAGGATGTGTTTGGGCAGATGAGCGAGTATGTGGTTTATGATGAGGCGCAGATTCGCATTCGGTATCTGGTTTTTGTTGCGCAGGATAGACCGGGGGTTGGGTAGGGGGCAGAGCTGTAGGATGACTGATATAGACATCCGAGCCATCTCTATGGTCCTTAGGGCTAGGTATGCGCCACTCCAGCTAGTTAGACTTTCTCCTCGTTAGATGGGGAGCATGATACCACGTTCCAATGTTCTTTCTCAACTCTGCGTGAATATTGTTTAGTTCTCGAAACCATAACGTAGTCTGGTCGCACACATGCCTGCCAAATACAAATATCTATACAACGCGTAAGTCCATGAATATATGCCCAGATATAATGATCAGTCCATGGCCATATCCTATAGTCATAATCCTACCCACAAGTAGCGCCCTCGCTTGACTCCAAAGTCTCTCTCACCTTCACTCCCTCATATTGAGGGTGACCATGGGCTGATTGGGATTGAAATCTCACAAGGTACCCCTCTAGAGCGAGGGATTAACTATTCATAAAATTGTATATTTTAGCCGCAAGGTCCTCCAAATCTTTACTTGCTTTCCTACTTATTGTATCCTAACAATACAATATATCGTTCCTTGTTCCTTACAGTAAATGCAGTGCCCAGTCATCTCGCTATGCCCGTCCAAACACAAACATCTCAAGCTCCTCATACGCCGTTTCAATGCTATCATTGACAATAATCTTATCAAAAGACCCCTGAGACTCGGCATAATCCAGTTCGAATTGAGCCTGGGTGAGCCTTTTCCGTAAATCCTCCTCATTCTCCGTTCCGCGGGCCCTGAGCCGCGCCTCTAGTGCCTCGAAGCTGGGCGGTTTAATGAAGACATATCGCGCCTCGATGCTGGGGTTCGCCTTCATCTGCTTGACGCCCTGCATCTCAATGTCCAGCACCACAACCAAGCCTTTCCTCGCCTGATCGTCGATCGTCTGCTTGCTCGTGCCATAGTAGTTGCCGCTGAAATACGCATGCTCCACGAGCGCACCCTGGGAGCAGAGGGAGGAGAACTCGGACGGGGAGACGAAGAAGTAAGCGACGCCCTCGACTTCGCCCGGTCGCGGTTTTCGCGTCGTATGGGATACGGTGAATCCAAAGGTGGCAGGGTGTGTATCAAATAGCTTTTGGATAAGTGTGCCTTTGCCGACGCCTGAAGGACCGGAGACGACGATGGGTCGAAGATCTTGGGGCGCTGCCGGAAGGACGTTAGCTGTTTCTGTGATTCAATTATTGGCGACTTACAGGAGACCATTTCGATTACGCGTTAGCAAACTGTCCATAAATCAGTGCCAGGTTCGTAGACAGATGTTTCGTGTGAAGGTACCAAGGTCAGCCCCTCTCCGGACTCCCCGCCCTAGCCCGGTTCTTCCGGATGCGGTCGGAAACCCTTCCGTTCCGGAATATATTGTAGTATCTAAGACCTTACTAAAAGGAATAACTAGTTATAGTAGGTAAAAGTCTCTTGTATTACATAATATACTAAGCTAGATATTTTAGGGATGGATAAAGAGTTTTATAGTAGCTATTTAGGCTAAAAAAACCTTTTTTTACTAGAGCCCTAAGGCCGCCGGTGGCCTTAAGCACCTACTTTTAGTATTCCCCCTTATTTATACTAAAAACTTTCTTAAATTAGTAAGCTGTAGGCTGCTAGCATAAAAAAAGTCTTTTTTAAATTAATAAGCTATAGGCTATTAATATTGGGAAAAGGCTCCCCTAAAGATGTAATTTATAGGTAAGTATTAAAAAGTTAATAATTAAAATAATAAAAGTAATAAGTATTAATAGGAGCTCCGGGCGTTAGTAAGCTAAAATAATTTTTAAAAATATAAGTAAATAATAATAAAATATATAAAATAGTAAACTTTTAATAAAAGCTTTAGGCACTAGGTGGCCTAAAGGTATAATAAATAATAAGTAATAAGTTAAGTAATTTATAAATTTAGGGGCTAGCTAGTATATTTACTAATTTTTTTATAAATTATATAGCCCCTTTATGGCTAAAAAAGTAATAATAAATATTAAAGCGTGTAAAAGCTATTTTAGGGGCAAGAACAAGGCCTAGTTTATATAAAATATATTAGTTAGTAGTAGCAGACTAGTATATAATAAGTTATTTAAAAATTTTAATTTCTAGTATAAGGCAAGTTGCCTAGTGTAGTAATATACTAAACTTATTAAAATATATATTTTAAGTATTAATTTTTTTTAGAGAATTTAGTGCTAGTATAATATTATATATTTTAAAAGGTATAGTATTAGCCTAGTAACTATAATAAGTGTAATTAAGCCCTAGATATAAAGTTTTTAAAATATAGGCTAGTGGGATTATAGCAGGGATTATAGTTTTAAATAATAATATTTTTTTTTTTTTATTAAAAAATAAGATTACTATAATAGCTTATATATACTAGAAGCTAATAGTACTATTTAACTGCCTAATTTAAAAAAGTTTTAGGGTGCTAAAGGCTATTAATCACGTGGTATAGCCACGCTTTAAGGCCTAAAAAAATATTAAATAAAAATCTTAATTAAGGTAATTAACAAGCTAGTAATACTAGTAAGCCTATATTTTAGTATTTAAAAATAAAATCTCCCGTGGGTAAATATAAAAAGCGCTAGGAATTTTATTAAACTAGGCTAAAAATATATTAATTTTTAATATTATGGTTAGGGCGTTATACAGGACTAGGATAAAATTTTAAGGTAAAATAATATTATACTATCTTTACCGCAGGGTTAATCCCTGGAAACAGGAATAAAGTAATAATAAGCTAAAAATAAAAATTATTAAGTATGGTTTTATAATACGCGAGTTATTATAGGTTTAGTATAAAAAAAACTAATTTTAATATAAAAACTATTAAAAAACCTACTTATATAAGCTTAGGGAGGATCCCTAGTAAGGCTTTAAAGTATTTAAATATCTTAGGCCCTAGTGGCTTGGTAAGGCTATTTATTATTTATTTTTTAGTAAAAATAAACTAAATATTAACCACGCCTTTAGCCTTTTTTTTTTAAATAAAATAATACTAAATATTAATATATTTACTCTAGGTATAAAACTAGGGGTTACTAGCTAGTATTATAATATTTTTATTATTTTTATAAATTATAATAGCTATAAAATTTACCTTTTAAGTATTTATAAGCTCCCCTAGTAAGTAGTAAAGTTAAATAGCCTTTTTAGTAGCTTATGTCTTTTTTATATACTTAGCTTTATAAAAAAATAAAGCCATAGTAGGCTAATACTTAAAAAACTAGCTAATAATTATAAAGCCTATATAAAATATATATTTAAAGGTAAAATAGCATGTTTTTAAATCCCTACCTTAATTAGCATTAGTATAGCTAGTTAGTAATTAAAAATTCCTAAAAAATATTAGTTTATAGTTTACAAAGCCCTGGAGGTAGTAAAATACACGCTTAATAATTACCACATGTTTTTTTATAAGTTTAATAAAAAAATAACTTAAAATAAACACGGGGTAGGTAATATTAGCCCAAGTCCTTAATATAAAATATATTAGGGATTTAATAGCGCTTTAATATTACTTTAAAATATTTACTAAAGCTAAGTATTTTTTAAAAGCAGGCTTTAGCTTTAAGTAAGAATTTATTAGCATGCCGTGAACCTTAAAGTTATTTATACTAAATTAGTAAAAAATCTTATTTATATAGCCAAGTTAAAAAAGCTAAAGTATTTAATTAGCCTAATTTTAGTAAACCTTTATACTAAAATAGTAATAGCAAGAGCTAAAATTAAATATTTTAAAATACTTACTTAAGGTATTTTTAATTTTTTAAATCCAGGCTTTATTCCTGCTAACTAGCAAAAAATTATTTATATATATAATAATAAAAATCTTGCTATTAGTAAAAACTCCTAAGTTTAAATAAATAAAATAAAAGCCTAGCATAGCTAAAAAATTTATAAGTAATTAGTATTAAATTTATGGTGCTTACTTTAGGTTATAAAAAGCCTTTTAAAGCTAGTAAACATGCTTAAAGCTATTAATAAAAAAATAAGGCTATTTTATAAAAATTATAATATTAATATCCCTGTATAAAAATACTATTTTTATATTTATTTATTTAATTTTAAAATCTAGCGTGGTAGTAATAGTAAATAAAAGCTTATAGCTTATTAGCTTTACTACCCTAATAAAAGTTTTATAATAATTAAGCTTATAAACTTGCTTAAAGCCATAAATTACCTAGCAAGCTTTATAATAAAAAATCTAGCCTTTTAGTTTTTTTTTAATTTTTAGGACCTATTTACTAAAAAGTAAGTATTTTTTAAAAGGCAAGTTAATAAAATCCTAGGTCTTATTTTTTATTAGAAAATTATATTTTTTTTATATATTTTTAAATTACTTATTTTATTTACCTCTAGCTTTAGCTTACTAAACTATTAGTTTATTTTTTTTAAAAATTTACTTATAAAGTATTATAGCTAGTACTAAAATATTATTTAGGCTAGGCTTGCTAGTTAGTACTTAAAAATTATTTAAATAAGGTTTACTAGCTAGGGCAATCCTATTTTACATGGCTTTAATAATATTTTAAAAATAAAATAAATAGGCTAGCTTATTTAAGATTTAAAAAGCTTTTTTAAAATTAATAATAGCTTAAGCGCGTGTGTAATACACTAGGCTAGTATTATAAAAGCTAAAATTAAAATTTTTTAAAAATATATTAATTTTAGTAGCTAAATTAGTAGCTTTTACTACTAGATTTTTAGGGTTTATATATTTAAAAAGGTCCCTAAAAGCTGGGCTTTTTAGGGATTTATTTTTAGGGTTTTTTTTAGTATTTAGGTTAGTATTAGCTAGTAAGTTTTTAAAAATAAAGATTCCTAAAAATACCGGAGCTTTAAAAATAGGAATTCCTGGAAAGGTAGGTACTTTAAGCGCCTTGGGAATAAAAATTCCTAAAGGGCTTAAAAATAAGGCCTTGGGGATAGAGATTTTTAAAGGGCTTAGAGTTTTAGTAACTCTTAGTAAGGCCTTAAAAATAAAGGTTCCTAAAGGCGCTAAAGTAGTTGCTTTTAGCAAAGGATCTAGTCTAATATAATAATTTTTAATAATATTAATATTATATACTAAAACCACGTGGCTATTATCCAGGAAAACCTAGTATAGTTTATTTATTTTTTTATTAAACCTAACTAGCCTTTTGGTTTTTATTTTACTATTTTTATAAAGCTTTTTTTACTTTTTTAATAGGTTTAAAACATAGATCTTGGACTAAAAAATATAGATATAAAAGATATTTAGTTAATAGCTATACTAGGCTTTAAAAGGTGTAATATTATTTAGTATAAAATATAAAGTTTAATTATATAAATAACTAGTATTTTTATAAAACTTAAACTATATATTAGCTAGGGCTCTAGTATTATATAATATAAATTATATAGGGCTAAGTAACTTATTAATAAATGCTTTAGTATGGCTATTTTATTTATACTAGTTTATACTAAAGGTTTTTATAATAATTTTAAAGCTATAAATAAGGTATTATAGGTTATAAATATTCTTTTCCCCTTAGTTATAGCATACACGGTGTAATAAAAGTTTAGGTATATTATATTAGTAAATAATAAAAAAAGCCCAGGTAGTAAATTTATTCTTGCTAGCTAGTGTTATAATCTAGTAATAATAAAATTTATTATTTATAATAAAGCTAATATATACCTTTTTATTAAATAAAAGCAGATACAGGCTGGAGATGTTTATATAAAGTAATTTAAATAGTTAATTAATAGGTATTATAGTGCTTTTATAAGGTTTAGCCTGCTAGTATGTAATAATATAAGATTTATAAATATAGCCCTTAGGCATGTGCATACCGCGGACCACCTTTTTTATTTTATTAAGTTAATTTTTAGAGGTATAGCCTATTTATTAGTATTAAAGCTAGGAAAATTTATTTTAAAAAATAAAGGCTATTAATATTAAAATAGCCGGTATTACTAGGCCCTAGTAAAGGTTAAAAAAAAACACTTTATAAACTTTAATAACCATATACTAAGCTAATTTATAGCTATATAAGATAATAATATTAGTACCTTATAGCTTTTTAGTTTTTATATCCTACTAGCTAAAGCTAACTAAGCAATACTTATTTAATAGCTAAAAAATAAATATTAGCATAAAAAACATGTTTAAGTAGTATAAAATATTATTTAAAGTTAAAATTTTAAGCTAGTTATTAATATAATAGGGAATTTTAATAATATTAATATCCTAGGTACTAAAAACTCCAGGGCTAATACCCTTAATACCAGGGCTAGTATAAGGCTTAAGGTCCTAAAATAAAAAGTAATTATAAATAATATATTATATATAGCTATTATCCAGGGTAATTTATTAAATAAAACTATTTTAAATAGTTTTTTATTTAAAATTTAAGTTAATTTAAGCTATAAGTACTAGCTTAAGTATAAGCTTTATATTTTTTTTAAATTTAAAATTTTTTTAAGGGTGCTTAGTGCCCTTGCTACCCTAGGAGTTTTTTTAAGTAATTTTAAGCTTAAAATAAAGTTAATAATAGGTTTTTTAGCTATAAAAAAGCATGTTATAATAAAAATAATAGCATGTGGTAATATCCGCGGTACCCTTATTTTTATATATTTAAATAATATTAAGGTAGTTTTTATAGTGCTTAGTATTAGGCTTTATAAATACCTTACTAAAAAAAAATATTAGGGTACCAGTGCCCTGGTTCTAGTTTAATTTAGTAAACTTAGTAATAATTATAAAGTTATTTAAAAAGGTAATTAACATGGTAGTATCCCTTAAAAAATATTTAATAACATGGTTATTAAAGTACATGGCCTTAAAATAGTTAAATTAGTTACCTAAGGCTTAATAAAAAGTAATAATAATAAGTTTAGTTAAAAGTGTAATACTAACACAGGTAAATTTTTATTAAATTTTTTTAAGTTTTTTGCTAAGGTTAAAAATACTTTTATTATAAAATAAAAATATTAAATTAGCCTAGGCCTTAAAAATTATAATATTAGTATTAGGTTTAAGGTAGCTTTTAATCTTGTTAAGTAGCTTATAAACTATTTATTTATTAGTAAAAAGGTTTTATAAATTAAAGCTTAAATAGCTAAAAATTAAAGCTATTACATGGTCTTAGTTTTATCACTAAATTTTAGCCTTATTATGGTTTACTAGGGGTGTAAGCTTAGTAATAATAGCCTTAGTAATAATAGCCTTAGTAGTAGGCTAAGTAAAAGGTGTAATAGTAACTAAAACTTTGCTATTAATACTTATATTTTTAGCTTGGCTTATAGTAAATTATTAGCCAGGGGTTTTAGTATTTTTACCTGCTAAAGCTAGTATAGTAAAAGCCGGAGTAATAGGGATGGTTTTTATAAAATATTTTTAATTTAACTACTTTAAAAAGTGGCTGTAGCCGGCCTTTTAAAGCTTTAAAAATACTTACTAGTTTTATTTAACCTACTAGTTTTTTAATATTAAAACCAGAATGTTCTTTATTTTAATTAAGGTTATTTTTTTTATCTTGGCTTGGTGTAGGAAAACTAAATATAAAAAAATTAAATAGTAAAAAAATTAAAGTAATCTAGGAGCCAGGGATTAAACTACCTGGGGAATAAGGCTAGAAACTAAAGGTATTAAAAAATAGTAAGCCCTAAGAAGTTACCATGGTAAGGTTAAGGTTAAATAGGCTAAAGCCTATGCTAGAATAGTCACAAAAAAATAAAAAAAAACTAGTAACTAAGAATAGCTAGTTAAATATTTAAAAATTAGTTTAAATCTCCAGGAAATAATTAAAGTTAAAGTTTAAATTAAAAAACCTAAAAAAGTTATATTACTTTTAAAGGTTTTAAAACTTTTTGGTTACTAAGGGAAACTTATTTTTATTAAGAAATTAAATACATGTGGCCCTAGGAAGGGGGCGTTTATAAAGTTAAAAGTTAATTAAAAAGGTAAAAAAAAAATAAAGGATTTAATATAAAATAGGATAAAGCCATAATATTTATACCTTAGTAATAAAGGCCTTGCCTTAAGCATAGGGCTTTTTAATTATTATAATAATTAATAAAGTTAAAAAAAAATATAAAGCTAAATAGGCGGAATAAGGAAATACCACGTATTTAGTTAATATAGGTTAACTTAAGAAAAAAGAAACTTTTAGTTAGGTGTATAAGTTAAGTAAACCCAGGCTTATAACCTACTAAAAAAAATAACTAGTTATAGTAGGTAAAAGTCTTTTATATTACATGGTATACTAAGCTAGATATTCTAGGGATAGATAAAGAGTTTTATGGTGGCTATTCGGGCCGGAAGAACCTTCCTCCACCGGAGCCCTAAGGCCGCCGGTGGCCTCAGGCACCCACTTCCAGCAGACCTCTGGGGCACTTTGGATTTGTTTGTTAACGATATGAGTGTTTGGTATTCCCAATTCATCTTTTGAGATATCTCCCAGCCCCCAGGATCGGAGCCAACTTATCACTGCCCACCCATAGGCCACGTACAAGGTGAACATCGCTGGTAAAAAGACCAGGTCAACAGTTGGAAGCCTGGTTCGAGCACCAATATAGGCGTTCACGGCCATTCGCGACAACAAACTCGTGTTGTAGGCGCTTGCCCAAGATATGGATTCATCATCCCTGAGCTGAAACGGGCGCTTAGTCGACGCAAAGGAAAACACGGAAGCGTCTGCCCAATACATACACGTTAGAATCCTGCGATTTAGTACATGAATATTAGCAGCACTGGGGATCTGTGAATCCTGGATCCTGAAATCTCTCAAAGACTTTGGCAAGATGGCCAGTCACATTTCACCTGCACAATTTCTGACCTCGCCGACATAAAGTAAAAGCCGAATTCCAGCTAGAAACACGCCGGTCTCCCATTGGCTGTCGATCCAAAATTCCTCTATTTTACATGACATCCGTCGGACCTTGAATATGCAATTGACATAAACAAGCTTGTCTGCCCCCGCTGCAGACTTACGCTGGCCGAGCTACGCCTCGCTTCGGGGGCCCGGGCAACGTTTACAGTTCTTGAATACCTAACCTTTATTTCTTTAACATATACGTGATTTGATCCCCAGTAAGACCCTTGGGCCCAGAATGGAGTGATGCGATCCCGCTAAACAGTAAATGGCCGCTATCTAGAAAGCACGGCGTCGTTCAAGCTTGTCAATCTACTTACCGTAAAGTCAATCCTGCTGCTAGGTGGCGTAGAATTCTACCATATTGCCCTTGGCTTTGTTTCTCAATGGTTCCAGACTTCCTGGTCGCGGCATACCTATCACACCGTGCCGCGGAGTAATATGTCACCAAGGAACCTGGTTCCAATTCTTTCCACCACGCTTTGGTTATCGCTAGCCCCGCAGAACCAGGTGTCAAAATACTGGAGACATCTTCAAAATGGCCTCCAGAACAGTACGAGTTATCAGAAGGGTTTTCTATGCTACAGCAGTGAAACCTGCTGCTGTTGCATGGCCCAAAAGACCCCAGGCAGGCCCCGCTACAAAATGGTCAAGCGAATCTTTTACGATGCAAAGGGCAGAATGTCAGCTTTGATTCTTTTCGGGAGATGGTTGAAAGCATGTACATGTCAGCCAATTACTGAAGCCCCTGGAAGCCACTGTTGCAAAGCGGGATAATATGGTAGACACACAAAGCATCGAACCTTGGCCTCGACGCCGCGTCTACGTCTAGACCCCCAACGGCCTCTCGACAAATGTTGAAAGCGCAGCCGGCGTGGAGCACCTCCAAGCCAAATCCTAGGACTCGTCATAAGCATCCCAGCCAGACTCTCCCCATCCAGATTTCTTCCCCATTCACTCTCCCACCATTTCTCCGACCTCTATCACAAATACAGCCAACCCACTTCCATCAACTGCCCCTCATCCTCTTCAAATCATCGCCGAACACGAACCCCGCAAATCAAAATGCCCGAATCAAGCACCACCACCAACATATCCAAGTTGGCCGAGGACATAGCCTTCATCCGGGGTCTCATCAGCGCCCAGCAGAAAGTGCGTGCGGCGGCTGAGGCGGGGACATGCTGCCGCTTGACGGCCGAGGAGGCCAAGGCGCTGTACGAATTCCGCCAGGCTCTCAAGGAGGAGTAGGTTCATTTCATATGTCATTGATCCTGGTACTACTGGGTGTTTTGCTAACTTGGTTTGCGTTTGTAGCGAGAAGGAGAGCGGTGAAGCGAGTGAGAAGAAATAATGGAGGAGATGGGGATGGGGTCGAGAGGTTCCAATCGTGTTGAAGAAACGAGGAATCAGTTGGAGTTGTGATGGTTGACCAGCGCGCTGAGGGATGGAGTGGCGGAGGTGAATAAGCCTGGCGGTACTCGTAGAGAGCCTATCGAGGTATTCGGATGGAAGTTCTCGCTCTACGTACTTGGAATAGCTATGAAGAAGCCTATGGCGTATATTCTCCTGTGTCTCCCTTACCAATGTATCAGTCAATTGTATGGTATTTAACTCACACTCGCCGAGCTGCATGTGTTCTCAGCGTAATTCACCCATGCACCCTAGGTACAGATAATCTCTGGAAGCATCTGTGGATACCTGACAATGCATTGTGTCTTGCCACAGAGCATTGAGGTTAGAGTGATATTAATTCAGTTTGAAACAAAAGAGCAAAGTCTCTATAGTAGGCAATAGATGGTCATTATGCGCATTCTATCATTTCCTGATAACGTTCACCGTCATGTAGGGTATCGCGCGTTTAGGTATAAGATGGATGCCTCCTTGGGTAAACCAATACGCTCCTCCCTGGATCCTTCTCTCCAGGCTTATCAAATAGGAAAGGTAGCATCTGGCTGTAACCTTCATCAACCAGGTAGAAGTAGTTGGAAGCGGGCACTACGTCAACTTCCACATACCTACGCCCTTGCCTTCCGACTCGACTACACTGTGTCTGTCATCCATTACCCCTCCTTACCTCAGATATAAAACAATGCATCTTTCGAATATCACGAGTGCTTGAATGGCCCTTTGTTGTGATAGACTTGGCAGCAAAGGCGACCATTCTTCCGCGTTTCAGCCAACAAGGGCGGAGGGTCAGGTCCTACAGTAGACAAAGTACTGGTGACAAGGTAATAAGCATAAACCAAAGACGTATCTTGACGCATCTTTGATATTGAGAAACAACGGCCATGTACCAGACCGTAACCCTTGTCTTCATTTCCTAGAACCATCCAAAGGCTTTCAGGACATGAAGAAAGCCCTATGTTCGGGTCAGCGTATTCCTTTATACAGGCCAGGTCGTAGTAACATAAATACCGCCGCTCCATCCCATCCTATCTACTCTCATCATAATCATCATCATTCCAACATTTTCCAGTTTGACTGGCTGCACATCAAATCTAACAACTACTGCTACCGAATCCAATCGGCTAACACCCTTGTTCCACTGACCATCACAACAGTACCACAAGCAAGATGTCTTCATCAAACATGCCCTCCTGCATTACCAACGACTACCCCTTCCCCCTCGAAAGCCTGCACGTCTGGATCGTGCGTCTCGGAGACGCCATCTACGAGATCCATACCGGGTGTGAGAAAATGGGAGGCTGCACCCTCAAGCCCGACATGGTAAAAGCACTAGCCTCCTACTTTAAATACGCAGATGAGAAGGTACGTTACTTTATTTTCCCTCTTGGATTTCGGGTGTTTTTGCTGACTTGTTGCCGGCACTATAGCACAACGGAACGACGGACTGGTGCAAGTATGAGGAGTTCGCGTCCGCCCTGGCCAAAATCCACGCGAACGCCAACGACTCCTGCCAAGAAACAAGCATCACCTTGGAGCGCTATGAGGTAATCATGCTGTCTACTTTCTTCCGTAATGAGAAGGCGTGGTCGATGAAACTGCCCGGGCGACAATCCAAGCTAACGACTGCTGTCAAGGAACAAGCATGAGCGTCCATAGTGCTGGCGGTGACATGGACAGACTACCCCTAAGTCCTAATGCTGAGGGGGACAGTCAGGACTTGTTCACTGCTTCATCTATCACAGACTATCTTCGCACAGATCTAGGGCGACATGGACCTATAGCGAACATGAACACTAGATAAATAGGAGTTTTTCACCCTACGAGGCCCAAGGCCCGCATGGTTTTCTCCTCACCCACATATATAGACAGGATGGCCACGGGCCAACACAATAACAATCTATTATTATCACAGAATATCTTGAAATTGTCACACAGTTACAGCTAATGGACCGAGGGTTTCGGGAAATAGTACCTCATACATGAGTAGGACAATGCACAGCTTCTCCACCACCAGCATTTCGCTATATTACTTCCAGAATCACCCCTATGTAGAACATTCTTTGACAGTCCTATCTGAAGGCACACAGCCTCAACCGCGCGAGACGACCGCAGGGTGCTGATCACCCTCCCCAGCAACAAGCTGATAGCACGCCCCGAGGCGTACGCTGTCCGGCAAGCCCTTATTAAGTGTGTGCTAGGACTAACCGCGACAGCGGCCATTTCTAGGATTAATATTACTTATATAAGCTAGGCTATTATTTTTAATAACCTTTTTACTAGGAACCTTCTAGTAGCTAATAAAATAATTAATATAATTTATTATACCCTAGGTGCTATTAATATATATATTTTTTAAAAGTAATATAACTACGCGGTGCAAGGAATGCCTAGTATTATTTTAGTATATAATAATAGTAAAATAAATATTACTAAGCTAATTTAAAATAAAATTATAACCTAAACTAAACTAAAGCTAGTTAGGCTTACTTTTTTAAAATATAGGCCTAATTTTAATACTAGGTATAATATTTAAATAATATTTTTTTTAAAGTAGCCTAAGGCCTTTATTTTATTTAATTAAAATAAGTATTACTAGCTTATTAAAAAATATTAACTAGTTTTTTAATATAACCCTAGCTATTAAAAATATTATTACCTAGTATAATATAACTATATAATATATTATATATAATATAATATAATAGCTATAAACCACCTAGGTTTTATTAATTTAAACTATAAAAATTTTATATATTATATAAACTATTTAGGCCCTTAATTAATAAAATATAATAATTACCTAGTAGCCCCTAGGTATAAAAATAAAAAATTAATTTATTTATTTAAAAAAAAACTTAATAATATGCGCTACTATAATACTTATTAATATTAAAACATGCATGCCTAGGTTAATATTAATATCTAGCTTTAGGCTAAAATTAAGTAATTTTTATTTTAAAAAATTTTTAAAAACACGCCGTGAAAAAGCTAAAAATAAATAAGTAAGGCTTTATAATAATTATTAATTACTATACCCCGTGGTTTAACACCTTTACTAATAATTAAAATTTTAAGTAGCTTTTTATTAAATTAATCCTGCTTGTTTTAGCTAGTATAAACACGCCTTTTTTACCCTAGGTAATAAAGGTTAATATTAAATCCCCCTTTAAGGTTTAATAATAAAGCATTAAAAAAAACCATAATAATTATTATTAAAATAATATTTAATAATAATAGGATTTTATTATTTACTAGGCTAATATAAATAAATTTATACCTAGTTATATTATAATTTTATAACTAGCCTATAAATAAAGTTATAATATTACCTATATTTAAAAGTCCTGGACTACTATAAGCATAAAAACTTAAAATTATTTAATATATAAGTATTACGCGCTAGTAAATGCCTAAAATAATTATAAAAACTAGTTAAAAAAATACCTTAAAGTACTTACTTATATTTATAAAAAAAAGTATTATATACTAAATAATACTACCTAGTATAAAATTAAAACATGTTATAGCTTATAATAAATAATATTAAGGTTTTAAATATATATTAAAAATTAATTATTTATAAAATAATTAATTACCTAGTTATATTAATCCCTACCCTAAATTATATAATTAATAAGAATTTTAATATTACTTATAATACCTTTAAGCTTAAAATAAATAACCTATATTATAATAGCAAGATTATTAGGTAGGCTAATAATAATAATATTAGCTATATTAATAAGCTAGGCATGGCTATATATAAAGCTAGCTATATTTTTAATTTAATTTTTTTAAATATTTTTTTTACTTGCATGTTAATAATACTTAAGTTATATAATAACTTTAATTATTAAACTTTAGTTATTATAATACCAGGGCGCGGGAAAAAAATATTAAAAAAATATTATTATAATATACTAAACTATAAGCTTAAGCACCTGGTTAGGCTTATAAAAAATAAAATAATATTTTTTTTTAACTTAGGGAGCTTAAAAATATAAAGGCACTAAATTAATATATTAAATTTTTTAGTAATACTATTATAAAAGTTATATAAATAATTAATAAATATCTTAACCTAGGGAGCTATAGCGCCCCTTAATAATTAATTAAATATATAAAAAATTATTAAGCCTGGGTGGTAAACCTTACCCTAAAATAAAAAAAGTAATTTTTAGCTATAATTTATAAAATTAAGCATGTATATTAAACCAAGATAATTAATAGTATTAAAAATAATTAAAAATTATATTAAATAATAATATAGTATAAGCTTAAGCCTAGGTTTAAGGCTTTTTTATTACTAGTAAATAATAAAGTAATTAAAAACATGCGGGAAAAAACTAATATTTTATAAAAAATAGTATTAAAATATTTTAATATAAATAATAATTTAAACTTTAATTTCCTAGCGCTAGAGCACTAGCAGGGTAATAAGTATTTTTATTAATTAAAAAAAATTTATTAAAAAAGGTTAAAAAAATATTATTAATATAAGTAGCACCTTTCCCAGAGGATTAAGTAATAATTTATATTTTAAAAACTTATTAAAAGTATGTTAGGCAGGCCATACACAAGCTATATAATTAATACTTATAACTAAAGTACTTTTTTTATTATAAAAGCTTGTAAAAATAGTAATACTTTTAAAAAATAGTAAAAAAAATAAGTTTTTACCCTAATTTTAGTGTTTTATAGCACTACTTTTAATATTAAAAAAAAACTTAAATAAATTATAGCGTGTTATATTATTTTTATTATACTAGTATAAAAAATACTAAGCCTATAATAATATAATACTTTGCTTAAATACTTAGCTATAAACTTAATAGCCTTTTTTACTTATAATATAAAAATAGCGCTTTTATAAAATTAAAAAATTATTATAATTATTATAAATATCCTAGGCGCCTTTAATATTATTTTATTATAATACCTATTTAAATAAATAATAAAGCAAGGCTAGCCTTGCATGCTTTTAACCTTAATTATAAGTTTTTTTAATAAATAAAGCGTGAAAGTACGCCTAAAATTTATTATAATAATAATATACTTAATATATTATAATATATTATAAGGCTTGCCCCTTTTTTTAATATTATTTTTATTATATATTATTAAGCTATTATTAATAAACCTAATTTTATATTTTAATTATATAAATAACTTTTATTTTAGCTATGTAAGTAACTCCCTTTATATAAATTATAAGCTTTTAGTAAAAAATATTTATAATATACTAGCCTAAAAAAAATAGAATAAGGTAGCTTTTATACTTAAAAAACTAAAAATATTATATATTACCTAAAAATAACATGGTAAATTACCCTTATTAATAGTTAATAATTAATTAATAATTATTTTTATTACCATAATATTAGGCTAAAAACAGCCTATATTATATTAATTAAGTATTTTTTTTAATAAATAGCTTTTTTAATATTAATATATTATTAAATAGGTAGCTAAAGCCCGCGTAATAACTTAATATATTTATAATTTAATATATATAATATATAGCCTGCTTGTAAACTTATTTTATAAAATAATTGTCAGGGCCGGAGCCAAGGGCTCCGGACCGCCAAGAGCCCGGGCGCGGCCTAAAGGAGTTAGGTGTCGAGCGCTAGCRGGGTTGGTGGGGCAAGCTAGTCAGGTGACCAGAGGAGAGTGGATACATCCATGGAATCGGGATGGCTAAGCCTAGCCATGTTGGCCTTTTGGCTACCGTCACACCTCYATTTCCCGATTAGGAAGGTGTAGTTTGCGTCCTGACAATAATTATTATTTATATTATTTTTAGCTTTTTATATAGCACAAAGGCGTGGTATAATAATAAAATTAAGCTTAAAAAGTATATATAAAACTTAAAAGTTAGCACCTAACTAGGCTAATATATTAAAATAATTAAAAAAACCTTAGTGCTAGCTACTTGCGGTATACTTTTAATTTTTTAAATAATATTTATAATAACCTTTTTTAAAAATGCTAGGCTTTTTTTTATAATAATAATATTAAAAAAAATATAATTATATTTTTGTCAGGGCCAACATTTTTCCATTTGACGTCACCGGGGCTAATCTACCGTTGGTCCAGAGTTGGCGCCTGAGCTTTGGCCTTAGGCCGCCAAGGCTTGGTATACCTTACTACTATATTAGGCTATATAACTTAACTAGGTTATTAATATTTAGGGTTTTAGCTACTAGTTAAGCAAGGCTAAAATAAGCCTTAAATATAAGTTAAAATAAAAACCCGTGTGTAAAGTATTTAAACCTATATTTACTTTTTAGTTAAAAATAGCTTAAGCATAGCTTAAAGGTTTATAAAAATAGCCTTAAAGTTAACCTTTATTAAAATTTTTAAGTAACTTTTTTAATATTATTTAGCGGGGTTTAAAATACTTTATTTTTATTAATTAAATTTTTTTATTAATATTTTTATTATTAGTAAAGATTTTTAAAACCTATTAATTTTATAGTTAAAGTTACTTGCACCTACTACTTTTTAAACTTTTTTAATAATAATATCCTAAACTAAATTTTTAAAAAATAAGTAAAGGTAGTTTATAAGTATTTTAATTAAGGTTTTTAAGATCTAGACTTAAATAGCTAAAAAAATATTTTTTTTTTTATTTATGCTTAAGGAT